GGCGCGAGGTTGTGTGCTTGGTTTGGGGAACGGTTTGTCGTGCTTTTCCCCCGGGAGACGTGGATGGAAGGTGTTGTAGTACATCCTGCGCTTAGTACGTATAGCGCCCAATGTTCAAACGTTCATTAAGGAATTGCTTCTTACACTTCTCCTGTCAGGCTGTCACGCATGGTTGCCATCGCGCCTGGTGGCGGAGGGATCTCGCCCTCCTCATCATCATCCCGCTCATTTTCGTCTGGCAGTTCGCCGCACGGGCTCTTCGAGAGCAGCCGCCCGTTGTATTCGATGATGTGGAAGATGGACACAAGGCGAATGCCGCGAACGCACCGGGGCGTTCCCGGCCATCGCCGGTTCGAGTTCGCACACATTCAATACAGATGTGATGTCGTTGATGACGAAGTATAGAGTCCAGGGTGTCCTTCGGCAAACGAGTGAACTGGGTGGGGGATCACAGCCGGGATGCCAGATGGGGCCTGGGCTCATAACCGTGAATGCACATCGCGGGTGCAGTCTCTCGTAGCAGCCTAGGAACGCTCGAAGATCTGACAAACTGCATGATGGTAAGTATGTTCTTGCAAGTACTTGGGCTGGCCGCGGCTTGAGCTCGAGTGTCGATACGCCTGACCTGGTTGACAGCAGAACGGACTGTGGTCGAGGGATTTGTGCCCGATTCTGAAGGTTCGAGTCCGCGGGAACGGTGCCTGGGCGGCTCGGTCGTCATGCCGGCGTCGAACTGGAGGTGATGAGGATGCGACGCTTGCACGGAGAGCTTGTGTCCCGCGTCTCCCGAGGCAGCTCGAAGACAGCGAAGACCCGGCCCCGCCAATGGCGCGGTGCCACCCACGGCCTCGCGTCTTCCGGGCAACATCTGCGCGGTGTGAGAGGGGCGCCGCGCGCAGAACGAACCTGCTGTGGTCTGCGGCCTGCGCCCGGGCTCTTCGTTGTGATCTCAGACAAGAGCGAGTGACGACATGTGCTCGATCATGATGTGGAGATCGAGTTGCGTCTCTCGGCGCCTGTTCGCCGGCCGAAGGCGATCTATGCGCGCGCTCCTCTCCGCCCACGACGAGGACCGGGATATAAAGTTGGGGGAGCAGGTGCGCTCCTCCCAACCTTCCTCCCCCAGCCGCGTCCCCGTTTGTTCTCGTGCTCGGTCTCTCCCTCCCTCCCCCCCTTCCTCCTCCCGGTCTCCTTCCCGCTCGCCCCCTCGGCGCCCCCTCCCTCCTTAGCACCGACTGCCTACCCACGCTCCTTCCGCCATGCTTTCAAAACTCTTCACCCTCGCGTCCCTCGCCCTCGCCGTTAACGCGGAGCACTGGATCTTCGGTGGCAGCCGCCCCATCGTCACCGAGCGACTTGACTCCATCGTCAACCCCGGTGGGGTACGTCTCTCTTACGCTCCCCATGCGCTTCACGCGTGCTTATATGCGCGTAGATCGGTACCCACGTCCACTCTGTCGTCGGCGCCAGCAAGTTCAGCCAGAACTACGACTACGACACCCTCCGGTCCTCCAAGTGCACCACCATCCCCGTCCAGCCCGACAAGTCCAACTACTGGGCGGTACGTCTTGTCCTTCTGTCTCCTGCCGTATTGTGATTGAGCTGTGTGTGCGCGCTACAGCCCCAGGCGTACTACAAGGACCAGCACACGGGTGTCTTGACTCCCTTTAGTGAGTCTCATCTCTTTTCTTTCTCGTTCGCGCGTATTGTCATGGCTGGAGGAGGACATCGCCACATCGGCCCGCGTGTCGGCCCGTTTCCATCCACCGCCCTGATCGAGGCTTCTCCGATCTCCTGGCGTACACTCCAGGAACATTATCATCGTTGACTCGCGCAACGGTCCCCGATCACGCCACAGCCACTGACTATCGTCTTCAGCGACCGGTTTCAACATTTACTACCTCAAGCGCAATGGCCCCAAGAACCAGCCCGTGAAGGCCTTCCCTGCCGGCCTTCGCGTAAGTCGTGCTCGTGATCTACTTCCGCGTGAAAGCTCACCCCCAATCTAGATGGTCGCGGGTAACCCGAGCCGCAAGGTTTACAACGCCTCCAACTTTGAGGACCAGGCCGTATCCTACGTCTGTCTCGGTACGTCCTCTCCGCCGTTCCCCGTATATGCGCTCATCATCTACGCAGACTACTCCGGTGCCCACAACGGCGATCCCGACTGGGCCGAGCGCCCCGACTTCTTCGACCACACCTGCCCCAACGGTATGCGCGCCCAGGTCTTCTTCCCCTCGTGCTGGGACGGCAAGAACCTTGACTCGGCCGACCACAAGTCCCACATGTCGTACCCGATCCAGAACTTCAACGGCGGCGACTGCCCCGACTCGCACCCCGTTCAGCTCGTCTCCCTCTTCTACGAGATGTTCCTCAACGTCCAGGACTTCCCCTACTACGGCGCCGGTTCCTGGGTCTTCGCCATGGGCGACACCACCGGCCTCGGCCACCACGGCGACTTCCAGAACGGCTGGGACGTCAACCTCCTCCAGTCCGCGATCGACACCTGCACGAACGCGAACGGCAACGTCATGGATTGCCCCGTCCTCGCCGCCGTCTTCGACCAGGCCGCCGCGGATGCGTGCGTCATCGAGAGCGAGGTCTTGAGCGAGAACGTCGGCCTCGACCCCGCCCACCCGATCACGGTCCTCCCCGGCTGCAACCCGATCTGGGACGGCACTGGCAACAAGCCGGCGTGCCAGCAGAACGATGCGATCCCGTCCTTCGTGTCCGCGCAGGAGCCGCTCCCGTCCGGATGGCAGGCGCTCGGGTGCATCGCCGAGGGCACCAACGGTCGCGCCCTCGCGAGCGCGTCGACCAAGTCGGACAACATGACCCAGGCGACGTGCGCGTCCTACTGCGCGGCGAAGGGCTTCAAGTTCGCTGGTGTCGAGTTCTCGGATGAGTGCTACTGCGGTAACTCGGTCGCGAACGGCGCGTCCACAAACCTCATCAACGGCGACCTTTGCTCCACCAAGTGCGCCGGGAATGGTTCGTGCTCTCCGTTTCCTTCGGCGTGATTTTAGACGCTGATCGTCTCCGATTGTCCTCGCGCGTATAGCCAATGAGATGTGTGGTGGCGCGGCGCGTCTGACTTTGCTCACCAACTCGGGTGTGTCGGCTTCGCCCGCAGCCTCGTCTGCGGCATCGTCTGTGTCGTCTACCAGTGCAGTGAAGACCAGCACTGCTAACACCTCTTCAGTCGCCAGCACGTCTGCCGCCTCCGCGACCACCGTCGCGACGAGCTCTAGCGCGGTCACCTCGTCCAAGGCCACTTCCTCCACCAAGGTCGCTTCCTCCACCAAAGCCGCCACCTCCGCCGTCGTGACTTCCTCGGCTGCCGCCTCCTCGACCACCAGCAACGTCGCCATCTCCCTCCCCACTGGCGGCGCCTCCAACTCGACCGCCGCGATCTCGGGCTGGACCGCCGCTGGCTGCCGTCAGGACGACGTGAACCGCCTCCGGACGCTCAACGTCGACGCCTTCGCCTCCAACACGATGACCCTCGCCGCCTGCGTCGCCCACTGCGACTCCAAGGGCCACACGATCGCCGGGCTCGAGTACGCGCGCGAGTGCTACTGCGGCGCGCCTTCGTCAACGGCGGCGGCGCGCTCATCGCGGACGCCAAGTGCAACATGCCGTGCGCCGGCGACGCCACCGCGCTCTGCGGCGGCCCCGACGCGCTCACCGTGTTCGTCAAGGACGGCAGCGCGGCCGCGATCTCGGGCTCCAGCTCGGGCTCCGCGACGAAGACCGGCGCGGTGCTCGCCGCGCCGACCGGCTCGAGCTCGACGTGCGACTCGCACGCGCCGGCCAAGAGGAACCACAAGCGCAAGGCGTTCGGGCGCATGCACGAGAACTCGGACCTGTTCTGAGCGTGTGTCCCTCCGCGTTAACGAACGGGTCGCCGTGGACGGCGGCTCGCTCCTCTCGTCTCGTTTCACTTTAACGGTGCCCCTGCGGCGTCGGCGCGGGGAGCGAGCCTCCCACGCGCGTTTGGTCTCTGCCTCTCCCCCTTCCTATCGAGTACATAACGCCCTCACGTGCATCCCTCGTCTCACTCTCACGTCTCCAGGTCTCTAAGTCTCCAGGTCTCGGGTATACCGGCGCCCGCGGCGCCCTCTCCTCTCCTCTCTCGCGCTTCCACTTGCCTCGGGGCGGCGCGCCGCGCGCCGTGCGCTCGACTCCACGCGCGTCCGCCTGTACTGTACTGCGTTTAGTACCTAGCCGAGCGTCGCGTACTTCTCTGCCTCTCTGCTCTCGGTGACACGTTGCGAATGTGCATATCGTGGATGGGGCGCTACGCGTCCTTTGATTGGTACATTTCGTGTGCACGCGTGTGATGCTGGCGAGGAGGGTCTGGCCCTGCGGGTCGTTCTGGATCTCCAGGCCGGACGCCGGATGCAGGCTGCATGCGATGACATCCGTACGGCGAGTCTGATCCAGCGGCGCGCACCGTACGGTGGTTCGCCAGAGCGCTGCAGGGAGGGCGGGGACGGCGGCGGGGAAACGGCGCACGCAGCGAGCGACTTGTACTTGTGTGCGGTTTGCCCACTTTGCTGTGCCGGACGGGTGACGCGACGAGGAGGGACCGGCGCGCGCTGGACTTGGCCGCTCCTCGTGACGGGGCGATCTGGGCGGGAGGTCCGACGCGGACACGTGCGGGAAATCGTGGAACGCATTTTGCAGCACGACCCCGCGCGGCAACGGCGAACATGAGCACGAGGGAGCACGGCGTGTACATTGCGGCTCATTTCGCGCACCCCACTTGGAGATGGTGTGCGGACGCCGATGGAGTTGTGCGGCGCGAGGCGTTGATCAAGTGCGATCCGAGTCAGCGGCACCGGTGAACAGTGGGGCGTTGGTGCAGGCAACGATGTCGGCGGGGGTGGCGGCGGAAGCGCGAGAGATCCCGGCGGTCCGTAAGCGCATAGAAAGGAGTGAATGATTATCAATAAGGATACATGAAGGGTGACAAAGAGCAGAGACGCAATCTCTGGCTAGTTGGATGTGCGGCCGACACCGCGACGCGGATGCTGTACGCTTGCCCAAGGTGAAGTAGTTACTCGCTGCGATTAGAACGCAATCAGTTCCATCGCAGAACATACGACGGTTGGGAGTGCTTACGGATGGTTGGGCGGAGTCCGAGTCAGTATCGGCACCGTCGTCCTCGTCATAGACATACAACGCGGGAACACCGGGAGGCTGTTACCCTTAGCAATCGGGTGACACATACGCAGACAACGACTTACCACGTAGGTGAAAGTGTCGCCCCACTCGTGACGCTTCTGCAGCCATTTGGGCATGCTTGGATAGCGCCTCTGCTGAGGCGTCATGTCATACTCCTTCTCTTTGGAGTAGATGATTGGAATGGCTGTGGCGACGTCAATATGGGTAGTGGCACTGATTAAACGTGATACGCACTGATGTATCCGGTGTACTCGTACTGAATGTACCGAACGTCTTTGAAGACTTCAAGTTCGCGCAACCACGGCGGGAACCAGTAGTCGGCGCATGCCATCGCACTCTGATCGAGGGAGAGATCTGGTACCTCGAGCCCGTCGTCGACGAACGCCAAGCGACACACAAGCACGTATCCCTGGGCGAGTTTTCCAGATTCGTCACGGACGCGATGTTCAATGAGGCTGGGGCAATGGATCCAGTTGTTGTCGTGGAAGTAAAGCGTTGCAGCAAAGGGGGCATCTTGGGGAGTGACGTCGGCGATGCCGTATGCTTTCATGACTAGATGATGGACGGCCTCGGAAGGAAACCAGAATCCACCGACGTGAACGGACATCGAGAAGGGGAGACGAGACGGTGGAGATAGTATGGATCTGAGTGGCGGTGGTGGGTCGGGCTCCGTCGCCTCGCGTGTTGCCTCGTGGCTGGCTTTCAGGCGGAGTTTTAATATGGCCACTATGGTCCCGCCGGTCAGCACTCGAGCTCGCCGCGGAGCAGCATCTCCAGTCGCCCCTCCGCGCGTGGTACACCGACAAACAGCGCGCCGAGTACACCTCTACTGCTATGCCCCAACCGGCTCCGCGTTCTTCGGCCCTCAGAAGACTCCCACTTGGTACGGACGCGGTGGCACCCCTCCGTGCGCTCTACGACTCAGGTGGCCGCACACGGGACAGCGCCGTCATTGTCGTGCGCGTGCGCGCCCATCTTGCAGGTCGTGCAGGTGCGCCCACGGCAGCTCGCGGAGGCGTGTGCGAGGCTCGTCGCCGCGAAGGTGAAGGGGCACGAGGACCAGAGAACGCTGATGAGTCCCCCGGCGGCTGGTGCGGCGGTCTTCTGGGGACCGAAGTTGAAGGTGGAGCATGTCCGGGAGTGGCAGTAGACGCGGTCCGCGGTACCTCGAGTGTGTACTCGCCCCGCTTACCGGAGTATCCCTCGCAGAGAGGTGAAGGGAGGTGCTGCCTTGAAGCATATCGGGGGAAGAGCGACTCGTCGGCGTGGGTAGCACCCTGGGACGTCGTGCATGGGCAAACGACGTCGACGGCATGGTCGCATGGCAAGGCGCCATTGATCGAGGTTTCGCTCCATACGGCGAGCGCGGCGGTGTTTAGAGTTCATCATATCTATGTATGAGACTAAGAATCAAGATCGTGTGTTTAGGACTGGCACGGAGGGTTTGCGTACCGTTCTTGGTAAGGGGTCGAAGCACTTCATCGGGGCGATCGGGGCGGGACCTCCGACGCCAACACTTGTGGGCAAACGTCTAACACCTCGTGCTGCACAAATCCACACAGCAACAGTGGAAGCGCATCGCGTTGTAGCTCATTCTGCTCACTCCGCTTGCACATGAGGACTTGCATTCGAGGAGAGTGGGCGTGACAGAGTTGCACGGGGCGACGGTGGAGAGGCTTTTATTAGGCGCCATCCGAGTCAGTGGCATGGGGAAACCGACGGCTCTTGGCACAAGCAACCAGGTCGGAGGGAGTAAAGCACGAGGGATCCCGGAAGTCCATAAGCATATAAAAAGAGGTGAATAACTATCAATAAGGATACATGCAGAGTGAAGGATAACGGGGACGCAAGATCTGGCTAGTTGGACGTACGGCCGACACGGCGACGCGGATGCTGGACGCTTGTCCAAGGTGAGGGAGTTACTTGCTACAATTCGAACGACATCAGTTTCATCGCAAATTATGAGGCCGTTATAGGTGCTCACAGATGATTGGGTTGAATCCGAGTCAGTAGTGTTGGCGCTATCGTCGTCGTCGTAGACATACAAGGCGGGAACACCAGGAGGCTGTTACACTTAGCAAACGGGTGGCGCATACAGAGGAGTCAACGGCGTACCATGTAGGCGAAAGTGCGACCCCGCTCCTGACGCTTCCGGAGCCATTTGGGTATAGTTGGATATCGATTCTGCTGAGGCGCCATGTCATACTCCTTCTCTTTCCAATAAATGATTGGAATAGCTATGCGGATGTCAACAGAGGTAGTGGCACTGATCGAACGTGATACGCACTAATGTATCCGGTATACTCGTACTGAATGTACCGAACGTCTTTGAAGACTTCAAGTTCGCGCAACCACGGCGGGAACCAGTAGTCGGCGCATGCCATCGCACTCTGATCGAGGGAGAGATCTGGTACCTCGAGTCCATCGTCGACGAACGCCAAACGACACACAAGGACGTGTCCTTGGACAGGTTTGCCAGATCCGTCCCGGACGTGATGCTCAATGAGACTGGGGCAATTGAGGTCGTCGTTGTCGTGGAAGTAAAGTGTTGCGGCGAAGGGGGCGTCCTGGGGGGTGACGTTGGCCAGGCCATAGGCTTTCATGAGCAGATGATGGACGGCGTCGGCAGGAAACCAGAATCCACCAACGTGAACAGACATGTTGTGCAGCAAAGGGAGGCGAGACGGCGGAGATGGCAGGGCGGAGGGAGATGTGAGTGGCGGTGGCTGATGAAAGCAGGAGTAAAACAGTTGTTTAGCGCCAATGTTCGATTTCGCCGTGTCACGTGTGGGTGTTTCTTTACGGCGGAGATTGAAGCACCGGCCCGGTCCTCCTTCCAAAACCACAACCTCGCGTGTGGCAGGCTCACCCCCAACCACCTTCCTCAACAATCGAACAATGGCCTCCTCGCGCTTGCATTGTTCCAGTGAGTATATAATTCTCCCCGCCGTTTTCGCACCGCCGCTCTCTCATACCCGCTCTCCTCTACCATCTCCCCTACAGACCAACCCCATGGGCAAGAAGCAGACTACGCCGCCCGGCGCGAAAAATACTAAGAAGGCTGGACCTTCCAACTCGTGCGTAATTCTGCATTATTACTGCCTTCCTTTTCTGAACCACCCTCCCTTCCCGCTCCTAGGGCACCGGCATCACCTCCCGTCTCCGACCCAACCACCCTCCCGGCTCCACTGGCTGCCCCGTCCACTCTCGGTGCCCTCAATGACGATATCATTTCTGTAATTATTGGAGTTATTGGTTCTATGGTACGTTTTATACTTCATTAACCATGTGCATGGCTAAACATCATCGCTGTCCGCTCCTGCCTCGTCTGTTCAAAGTGAGTAGCTTGTTTATCATGTGGGTTGTAGTGCGCTAAACGTTGATGAACATATATAGGCCCGCGACCCGGAAGAGGAACGGTACAATTGACTCTCTCTTGACGGCGAAGCATCGTCTGGATATAATGAAGACTTCACTGGTGAGCACGCTTCTTTGGCTTATCCTGCCACACTCTCATCTTTCCTGGCTCTCGAAGGCAGCCCACAATGTCGCGGAGCTTCCTTTACTCCCCGCCTCTTCCGACGGAAGCGGTTCGCATGGCGCGTCTTCAACCACGGAAGTCTGCTTGGCCACCGTCCCCATCGACGCCGCGCCATGCGGTGCTCCATCGATAGCCTTGCCTGGAGCCGATCCGACTGCGGTGCTATCCATCGGCATCGCGCCTGACCCTGACCACTCCACGACCCAAGAAACACATCAGCATACCTCGGTAATATGTTTATATGTTTCATTAGTGCGTTGTTCTGACCACATTTCAGGCGTCCGCTGCCCAAGAGCCTTCCGAACCTGCCCAGGAACCTGACGTTATCGTCGACGGTCAGGTCAAGGAAGATTTGTTGCGCCTTCTCGCTGAATCTTGTGATGTATTCGTGCGTGTTCTTCACTCTTGTTTGGAATGCCCAAAGCTGATCCGGTCAAATGTCCAGAACAACAGGTGAGTCGCTATAGAACGACTGCCATGTCAATACTAAACACTCTTATACTACAGTAAGGAGCTCCGATCCGGGCTTGCTGACGAGATCAACGACTGCCTCGCGAAGCTCACCGAAACTCAAACCCTGGTCTCGTACCTCCTCGCGGATCCACCATCGCGCCCAGACGCTGAGGGCCCCACGGTACATATTCGCTTCAGGTCGTTCGTCATGGTATCGCTGACACTCTAACGCGCTTTCAGGACCACGTCGACGAAGTGATGAACCGTGTCCCGCCGTTCATCTGGTATCTCGTCGACCACATCACCCCAGACTCTCCCGAGTGCAAGATCGACGGTGTCACCCAAGTCCTGTACTCGTACGTTCTCACTCCGGAACAGCTGTGCTGGGTTCAAGTCCAGGCTACGATCTCCAGGCTCGAGGCGGTCAAACAGCGTGAGCGTGGAAAGCGCTCGAAACGGGGCGTACGAGGCGGGACCAAGGCTGAAGATCCTCCGTCGCTGGAAGAGCGGGTTATCGATCCGGAAGGCGTGGAGGCCGGTCCGCCAGCGGCCTCCACCCCCGCAGACACCATTTCGACCCGTCCGAGGCATAAGCATGCGTCGGGTCACCTTTCCTGCTTTGTTCCGGACGTTCTGGTTTCCGCGGTCGATGGCAGGGGTCGTCGGATCCGAGTTCTCCTGCTTGTCGAGAACAAGCGGACCGGCAACCCCATTCCCCAGCTCCTCGACTATGCCAAAGAGTTCCCCAATGAACTCGACACTGTTTTCATTGGTGTCAAGATTTGCGATAAAGGTATGGGTCTCCAGGCGATCATTCTGCGTCGCGAGAGCAACGAACAGAGAAGGTTGAAATTGGTTGTGATCCACGAAGATGGCAGGACCGAAGATCCTGCCGATATGGTAGACGTCGAGGGCGCCTATGTCCCTGTCCACAGCCGTTTCTTCATACAGACCCTGTTGGACGTTCTCGATCGTCACCGCAGCCACATGCAGGCGCCCAACTGAACTAATACTTCCCTCAATCAAGTACGTCTCGCACCGTTTTATCTATCCACACTTATTCATCGACTCCCAGATGGTAGGCTGTGCCGCTTTGCACTCATGCGTGCTCAATATCAACGTCTCAAGACAGCAGTCTATGCCCTCACTACGTCTTACGATTTCACACACTCATTTCCCTCCGTTATCATCTCACTATCTCACTCAGACACTCCTGTATCCATCTCACGCTCGTTGTATCTCTTCACCTGTATTGTATCACATTTAATCTCGTCAAATCTCGCTACTCTCCCCACGCTCATTTGCATCGTCTCTGCTGACTCCTATATACTAAAACCTTTTTTAATCATGCTCGTCTGATTACGGTGTGAACGTTTCTTGCTCCCAGACTGGTAGCGTAGTACCAGTGCGCTTTGCACTCGATTTCCTGGGTGCCCGACGCCCAGATTTGCAAGCCGGGGTGCGAAAACCGACCTTCGAGTAGTAAGTATTTCGACATGGGATAAATGTTGGAGGACATTTCTCGCGTGCACCACGAAACATTGAAACATACATGCGTGGCGTACACGAGTGAGGCTTTCAACGCCGTGCCATATTGTGAATATCGGCTCGAAGACGTGACCCTGCCCGATCTCCCACAGATCTTTCTCCGCTCTTCACCCTTGCCCCGAGGAATTCTCCGAGAAGCCCGCGTCCATCAAGACCCAAACGAAACGCCCTCCTACCCGTGCCGCAGCGCGCAGACGACTTCGACGACCGAGTCCTGGTAGTTCCAATCCTTGTCGTGGAGCACGACGCGGTGGGGGGCGAGCATCTCGCGCAGTCTGTCCGTCGCGTCCGCGGCGACATGCCTGACGGGGTGTCCGCCGCACAGCGCGGCCGTCCGGCGTACGTAGAGCACGTGGAAGGACTCGAAGTGGAAGCCTGGACATCTGGAAGGCGGAGGCGGCGCCGCCGCCGCCGGGGGATTGAAGCGTGCGCCCAGTGCTTGGTGCGCTGGGCGTGGCCATCGAGGTACTGCTGGAAGACGAGGATGAGGATAGATGTATGCTTAATTAGGTCGGGGTGGTGGAGAGCGAGGGAGGCGTGCAGGATCTGCGCGCGGAATAAAGCAACGGCCCGAGACTACGGACCTCACCCGCTTCATGTCCCCACCGTGAAGACAATTTCAAGCCTGGTGACAAAGGCGAGACCGCGCCACAGGGACAACGCGCAATAGATTGATCCGTACCGAGCAGCGCATCCGGTGAACTCAGGTTTACGAGCGCGCGCGACTGGTACTCGGTGAAACCCGGATGACTCATCACTGCCGCCGAGGATTCCCGAATCAGGGCCAGATCAAAGCCTCACCCAAATTGAACGATGGGAGTCGACCTGGATCTTGACTCCCTCCTTGAACACCACCCCGACCCAGTGATGCTGTAATCCGAGCGCATCGTGCTGTGACTTCAAGCCCACGGTCTGCTCCCCAGTGACCTGTAAGTCCATTGCTCGTTTTCCAGGCCACGATCTCCGCGACGACGAGAGTCGAGTGCGCCGTCGGGGGGAGGTGCTTCGCGAATTCCCTCCCGCCATCTCCACTCAAGGGCGCTCATACACGGGCGTGTTTATGCTTGTGCGTTGTGAGTGTCCAGCACCCTTGGGGGCGTGTTCGTCTCCCAGCTGGCTGTCTCTCCTTGCCGCGACGTCGCGTCGGGTCAAAGTTGGCGGGTACGAGGGGCTTATCGCAGATCAAGGCGTTCTGTCTATCTGCATGTATGCTGACGAAAATCCCCAGCTTTGGTTTCCTGTGCGATTCCAAATAGCCGGATGGACTGACTGCATGTGCGCGACTGCGTCGCGCCGAGGTGAACACAGTGAGTACCCTCCGCGACTGTTCTGCGCATCGCTCTATCACTCGACTGGTGAGCGTTGGGGCTTCTTCTCGACGTTTGTTGTCTAGAGGACAAGGACTCCCTCTGGAGACGGGTTTGCTAGCTGGTCGTTGGCCCTTCAGTGGCTGGCAGATGTTGCCTACCCCCAATTCGGGATAGCCATGGCTCAATCGAGCATGAGGGATTCCTATGGGCTCTATCTTTTGACTTCACCCATTCATCGCACTCGCAGCATTTGGCTAATCGTGCCTTGACAGTGTGTCTACAGTGACAACCCTTTCCTCAGATGCGCCACGATCACGACGATCACGCCGATCACGCCGAAGTCAGGGTTGAGGACTATGAAGAAGTCTGCTCTCCCATCCGCGGTGTGTGTACGTTTCGAGATCCGTACGCTGTCTGTGCCGCGCGCGCCCTATCACTTGACCGGCGGACGTTGGACATCTGTCCCGACGTTTGCTGGCTGGAGCCCAGGCCGCCCTCCAGCTGCAGGCTCCCGAACGAACCCAGAACCTGGGGGTGTTACCACAGTCTTCATGTGACCTCCCTGTTTGGGTAGACATTGAGGATTGGGAGCTGGGGTTGGCCACCCCAAGTTCGGGACAGCTATGGAGCAGTCGAGTATGAGGGGCTTTTATGCGCTCTGTCTTCTGGTGTCGCGTTGTCGTCGGGCCCGCAGACTTTTGCTAATCTGGCCTTGAAAGCGTGCCCAGAGTGGCCAACCTTTCCTCCAACGTGTCGCGATCACGACGATCACGACGATCAGGCCGAGTCAGTCCTGGAATATTGCGGACAAAAGAGGTCTGCTCTCCCACCGTACACGTGGTGTGTGTGCGTTTCAAGGTTCGTACACTCTCTCTGTCGTGCACGCCCGCATAACCTACGTCAGTACCTCTTGCGAGTACGTTTTGGCTGTTTGTGCAGTCGTCGGAGGCCACCCAGGCATTCGGGTCGCTGCGATGCTGTCGAGCATGAGGGGCCTCTTGCTATGCATGTCGTCATTACGTCTTGTACGGGAGCTGACCGTCTTCGAATTATAGCATTTGGGGTCCACAGGCTATATCGTCTCACTACTCAGGGTCTAATCCACAGACCTCCGGTTTATCTCATACGTTCACCACTTTATAGAGATGTCGTTCTCATGCTTGCTGCAGCCCGAGCAGCTTCGCATTGCATATAGTCACGTCGCCCCTTACACACTGAGTGACTCGTTCAAGACCTCCTTGTGCTAACCCGATGGGATCTTTTACGGGGTACTCGCGCCACGCGCGCCGCTCCCTGCGGCTTCCGCCAGGAAACGTGCTTCGGGGGCTCGAGAGCTCGAAGGATCAGATAGGCGATGAAGGCGTTGGACTGGTCATTTGAGTTTATCTTTCGTACCAATTGACTAATCAAGGTGATTCAGCCCAAGATTCACACAAAAGTCGTCTGTGAATGGACGTTCATTCGAACACGCGCGGAACGACGCTTGGCGAGTCGTGGGCGAAACAGTGCCAGAGGGCTCGTGCATCGCCAGCGAAGGCCCAGAGTTGCAGAACCAGGCCAGCTTTGATCAAATTCGCCTCCGAACACGATCGCGGTCAGGCCACGTCACGTCCGCACCGCAACTCTCCTGCAGTCCTCGCCCGATGAGATGCCTCTCTTCGACGCTGGTCCCCAACTCCGTCAAGACGAGCCGCTTCGTGTTCGTCACTTCACCAGTGCAGTCCTCCGCGCGGCGCATGTCCGTTACAAAAACGTGACCCCGATGCGCTCCCACCGCTCGCGATGCGCCGCGTGAAGAAGCAGGCTTGGTCCGACGGTGGCGGCTGGCAGACCGCGCTGCGTCGTATGTGGCGACATGTGGGGAGGCACGGCGGAGAGCGGGCCGCGTGCTCGCAATACAGCCCGAGCGCGCTGAGACGGACGATGGCGGGCCAGGCGCGGTCGTCCGCCCTATCGAACCCGTGCAGGTTCATCATGCTGCCCGTCTGGAGGACGTTGATGAGGAGCATACCAGCGTGCGCGCGCTGCAGACGCAGCACAGTCCTACTCGGCGTGTGACCCGTGCACGGACCATGCTCGTGATGTCATTGAATTGACTCCATGTGCTCCTATCGTTTGCACACTGCATACGTCTCCTCCCTCTCCTCCCTCTCCTCCTCCTCCTCCCCCCATTCTCGTCACTCTACGCACCACTTTACGATGAGTGCTGCATGTCCAGACCTGATGTGTAAGTCCCCGATGTCTGCGTCTCCCCGACACTGACATCCAGTAACCCTATGCTTGCGCGCGACCGAGCAAGATGAGCTCGGGCGTCCGCTCTGATGGACACATACATTCGCTAGCGCGGTAAGCCGTCCGTGCACTTGTCTGTGCGATTCTCCATCCACTGCAACCCTATCGCTCGACCGGTGACAGTTTTCTTCACTGTTGCCGTATCTTGGGCCACAGTGAGGAACCGCCCCTCACAAGAGACCGTTCTCACTAACGGCCGTCACGATGAATCATCGTACACGCCGAGCAGGATATCCTGCATGGACATGTGAACTCATTGTTACACGCGTCCCATGCCGGGCACGCGCAGCCCGGCGGTCCGAGATCGCCGAACGGTGTCGAGTATGTATATGAGGGGTAGCTATTCATCATCGCCGCGTGTTGTGTTTTGTGTCATCGAGCGCTGACTGTCATGATGCAGATCTTGCTTGGTATACTCTTCGAGAGGAACGATTGTGGTAAGCCGCCTTCAGACCCTTTCTTCGTGTACACGTTCGCGCAGCACGCACGCCTTATCGCTCGACCGGGGTCCGTGTATACCATGGTCAGTTCCGGCCGGAGGGACGCTCTTCTCCGGCACCGCGCGGGGTCTAGCCCTCCACCGTGACCTCGTTCAGGAGTCGCTGTTCACAGGGAATACACCATACTGTGACGTCCATCGATGGTCTCCGTGAAAGCCACTCCCCGAGCTCGGTTTTGTGTGATACTCCAGAAGCGGTAGTCCACATTGGGACTCAGGGCACTCTCAAGGTTTCGACTCCGCGCATTGTCGAGTACGAGGGGCTTCTTGCATTCCGTACTCCTTTTCTCGTCCTTCTTTAGTCGTTTCGTTGCTGACTTCTGTCGCATGCGTTCTTCTAGACTATCGATGGTCGCGCTCACCATGCAGGAGACTCGTTGCGAAGAGCGAAGAGCGCATGACAGTGTTGCTTCAGCGCACAGCATACTTATGGGTAGACCAGCTCCTGAGTTGTTCTATGACGTCACTGGCCAGTCAAATTAGGGGAGTCGTAGGCACGCATGAACATATGTACGGCGATTCGCTGCTAATAATACTGTCTCTGCAGTAGTGTTTCTGCTATACGGCTGCTCGCACACCACGTTTAGTGCGGCGAGCTGCGCACATCCCCGTCTCTCCACCTCGCGAAAGCTATAGACGACGTAGCATTGTCATGGGCATTGCTCTAACACTATCAGAGACGTGCGATAGAGCAGATTACTGCAAGTATGACTCGTGTAACATGCGGTGTGCTTGCAAAGACGCACACTGCCGAGGAATCGTGGCGCACGCGGCACCACACGGATCCGACTGCGAGGCGAAGCAACTTGACGAGTTCTGAAAGTATACACGATATTGAGCTGATAGACGTTCGGGCGGCATTTGCCGAGCGGAGCTCAGATTCGCTTGAGGAGAAAGCTGACGTAAGGATCCCATGCTTATCCTCCTCCCACTTGCTCCGATTGGCATGGCGACTTGTAAGTACTCGAGAGCCCCATCGCTGAGCGCTGAGCGCTGAGCGCTGAACGCTGATAGCACTGATATCTGGCAGCATGGGAACTCGTCTGCTTGGCGACTGAGCTTTATCACGCCTGGGAAGGGGCCGATCCGATGGCTTTCATCATGCCCACTTCTGGAAGAGAGTATCGCGACGACCTGTCCAAGCTCCTCCCACGACCTCCGGGCATCGAACCCTCACCGGCCTCGAATGTGCGGAAGGCGAAGCCAGTCACGTCTCCATCCGTCCAACGTTACTCGACACCGACTTCGCCAGGTCGCGAACGACCGGTGGACAGACTTAAAGCTTAAAGTCTGCTCGCCAGCGTCGACTCCCTCAGCCCCCGAGGCGGCTTCAGACCACGCTGCCTTGCACTTTTCCCCACCCACAGGTTTGTCCTCTCTCAATGCCACGCGCTTTCGCTGAATCGCTGATCTACGGACCGCATACATTCTCAACCGCCACGTTGCCTACGCCCCCGCCGCCCTCTCGACCTCCGCCAAACCCCAAACACCGTTCGCTTCCGCACTGCCAATCTCGCGTTCTCGCACCACCGCGGCGCGCACTAGTGGCTCGCACTTCCGTTCTCCGAGCGCCCATGTGCAGCACGCGCTTCGTCCACCGGCGCCTCTTCGGCGTGCCGGCCCACCGTGACGGCCACGACGGCCTCCTCGTCACCCTCTTCCACGTTCTCTGAAGGCCTCATGCCACGCACAGCGTGCCGCTCACCAAGGCTGACCTCTACAATGTCCTTCTAGGCGAGGAAACGCGCGCGGCGGTCGCGGTGGCGTGCCAGGCGCGGTATCAGATGTCGGAGGAGGAGTGCGGGGACTCGACTTCTTGATGGGCGAGATCGCGATCGAGTGCGTGCGCCCTGTGGGAGGTATTCACGAGCTGGACGCGAGCGGGGAGTTGACAAACCGGCGACGCATATATACGGGTAGTTGCAGTGTGTCCACCATGCGTCTTCGCTCCGATGAACCTTACTAACGCTTCTGGCTGCTTCTTTACAGGAACTTTATTTCACGCGTCTTGTCCTGTCGAACCGTCGTAGGACGTTCGACCCGCTCTTTGCGGTATCATACAAATCGTTCTGCAGCTGCTCTTCTCCTCTCGGCGTACGTAAAGTTCGAGAAACATCCGCATCGCGCGCATTCACCGTGCTTGGCCGCCGTCAACTCGTGCGCACAGCCATATTCTCTGGCTGCATTCGCGGTGCCACCACGAGGATGGCTCGAGGGGGGATGTGCAGTGCCTAATAATACCCTTCGACACGAGGTTCGCAGACCGGCTTCTGTTGACATCGCACGTCAATAGAGAAGCGCTAGGGACTGACACGAGGCGGATTGGTGGGTTGATATGAGTGAGGTTCCGGCAAGTACTGACTTGAAAAGGCGAGAAGCGGTGTGTTGCGGATGTGCACACAACAAAACCAGCCTTGTCTTTCGCTTTTGGCTCATCTCGGTTAGTTCTGCTTCGGATCAATATCCTTCGTTGACTGTGCCTCTTAATCTCCGCCTTCATCTCCAAATAGATCGTCTACTTCTACACACTCGGACGCCCGTCCAAACCTCCCGCTGCACAGGCCGGAAGTCGTGTGCTCCCTCACGAAGTATCGCATCTACCGCGGAGCGCTCGGCTGGCTGTGAAGCTCCCCTTGTCGAAGTTGGGCCTTCTCTGTAATCCGTCAAACTGTCCCCACACGGTAATTGAGGTGAGCACTGGTCGATCAATGCACACACAGCCTATTCTAGCGCTTTTTTCGTATATATTAGTGTATCCATAGTCAGAAACCCTCATACCCTATCGTCTTCTCTCTCCAGCCCGTGCCACACCATGTACCACCTCTTCCGCATGTTGATGGTTCTTCTCGTCTTGAATGTGGGAGCATCCAGTGTTTCCGCTATTCCCTACGGGTTCGTTGACGGTGATCTACGAGTGAGTGGCGTCGTACTTTTATCCAGACCAACTACGACGATCTGATGTGATCCTACAATCAACAGCGCATAGAAATCATTCGTACGTCACACCTCCCTCAGAGCAGCACAGCACTGGGAGTCGCGCCTGGCCTGGACCCGCATGTCGAGCGCCGTGCAACAACGATGCATACCACACATACGGCTTCCCTCTTGAGGTAAAGCGGACGCGGCTGACTTCACGTGCGATCCGAGCGCTGACCGTATATTCTTAGGAGTACGCTCACCGAGAGCTCGGACACCACCACCGCAGCCGGCACGCACGTCCACGTTTCCTTCAGCGCTGGCCTCGTTCCACTGTCGATTCCCGACTCTGATCCAAGTACCACCTCGCCTTCGTTCCCCGACGTGACTGTGAATTCAGCCTCGGACGGGTCGAATGGCTCCTCAAGGTCGCTGGGCAGCTGGAGAAGGCCTATTTCGTCTGGACGATCGTCGCGCTCGCGTTCATACTACATCTGCCATCCTTCGGTTGGTGATGTTGGATTTGAATATGTGCGTCCATCGCGTGCGAGTTGCGACGTTTGCTGAGTGGGTGGCGTTTGGGTATATGCTAGGTTCGCGGCGTTCAATGTCGGGGCATACGACGCCGCGCTGGGATATCTCCGACACGAGGAACCGAAATTCCGTTCCCGTGATAATGTAAATGCGCAGATAAGGGTGGTGTATCACAACGGACGCATCTATATTCTCTGGTTATATCGACGCTCCCAGTACTACATACTCGACACCACGATAATATACATGATGCCACACAACACGCCATATATGCGCTTCCTTGATCTATACTCAGTATATCGTATTTTCTGGACAGCTGCAAACAGGGATCGTACTGTATAATCGGTCCCCGGGCGGGGGTCGAAGTCGCGAGCGTAGGCTATTGCCACGCGATGCACGTCTGACGCGATTGTCCGTGACATTTTCTGTGCGCGTTCTCGTCGCTGTCGACGCCGCGCGGCACTTGAAGAGTTAAAAGACTGTTTCCTATATGCGCACACGATGTGGTCAACATGGGACGCGATGATTATCTGAGAAACCGGAAAGCAGTGAGCGCGGCGTCCTGCGTGAATGTGGGCGAAACCCGGATGACTCAGCAAGCCTTCCGAGGATTTCCCGGGCCAACGCAAGGCGGCCATATTTGACGCCGAACTGTTCTTTTCGTCCACCGCGCGCCCTGGACATCCCTCACACACAAGCCGGCGATGCTGCACAATCTGCGTTCATATTTCTGTTCACCCAAGTCCACGATAGGATTCTGTGCATCCTTTGCTCGTTGTCCAAGCTCAAGCCCCGATCTCCGCAATCTACGCCCATCAATCCAACCGACGGACGACGTTAGCACGCCCTCTCCCCGCAAAAACAGCCCGTCTTCGTGAGTTCTTCGCGCAGGCCATAGAACGCGCGTGCACCCTCTCCACAGAGGATCCTTTCCACACCTCCAGCGTCGCTCAGCCGGCAATCGAAGCGCAGAAATGACACCGCGACCCCGGATACCTTCTCGACGAGTAGAGAGAGCGCCGGGTCGGTCTTACTCCCCAGGACTCGCCCGTCGGAGGAAATGGGGAGGACGGGGTGGCGGAGCAGGACCGCGGGCAGCGTGTGCGCATGGGACCGCGTGCCACGTGCGCCCACCTCTCGCCGCCCCGCTCCGCCGCCCCAGTCGACACGCTTGAGCGTGCGCTCGTTCGCGTGCGGACGGCGGGCCAGCGGAGGGAGCGGGGGCCGTCGTCTGCGTCCCCGCTCGGGAACACAACGTCTTGCGCGGCGGCTCGGGCCATCTCCCGCCGCCCGTCCGGGAAGGGCGTGGTCGTACGCCCGGGCCCCGGGCGCGACTTCCGCCTCCCGCGCGCGCACGCCTCTCCCTCCGTCGGGGTTTCGCTAGTCTCCTCCACCCGCGCGTCGCACAGCCAGGCGTAGTGGCATGCCGCGGCGCCATCGGGCCATGCCCCGCGCGCGTTGAAAGCCTCCTGGACGTCCGCCGCGCCGTTGCCCTGCCCGTAGAGCTCGTTGTGTCATGCCCAGTCGACGAGGAGCCAGTCGAGGCCGCGGCGAGCGCGCACGCCTGGCAGACGTGCGGGAGCAGGAAGAGTACGCGTGGAGGCGCCTACGGAGGTCTATCGCTCTGGAGATGGGGCGACGGGCCCGGGGTTGTCGAGACGTGTGTGGACGGGGTGGGCTGATAGGTTTCCGGGAGGGTGTGGGGCAGGGTGTGTGCGCCTGTGATGGTGGTAGTGGGCGAAGAGGTGCCCTGGGAAATTGGGTCGCGCTGGGACTCGAGGAGGAGAAGGCGTGGATCGAACGAGGAAGCGAACAGGAGGAGGCGGAGAGGACGGCGTAGCCTCCGAGGACGGATGTGAGAGTAGGGAAGGGGCGTTTGGTGTTGATGAAACGCCTCATGAGTTCTGGGCATGAGTTCTGGGCGCACGTGAGGTCCTTGTGCGTTAGCCGCAGATGACATGGCTCAGTTGAGACTTGGGAAGGTCATCTACGTCGCTATTTAGCCATACATCGCTCTGGCTTGCAATGAGGGCTGTCTCTTTCCACAATGCGGGCTCGGCTTTGGGCGCCCCTTGGAGCGCGACTGTGCCGTGCATAGGGTTACCTAGAGAAGCGCGAGAACACCACTGGATTCTTTCTCAGGACGTCCCTATGGTCGACCGGGTCTGCGGCGTGCGAACCACGCTTTATTAAAACGCAGGTTTGTTGTCTTATCTGCCTGCAAGGGCGGTCGTGCAGCGCGACTCTTGTTCGTTCATCTCGTTAGCTTTCGAGCACATCTGATCATCCAGTGTGTTAGAAGCTCCCCTCGGCGCATCTTTGCTCTCTAATGACATATCATCAACAGCACCTCGTGGTAGACTACGAGAGCATAGCTCATATCAGCACAAGTGATATGGAGGTCATACCGCAGCGCTCGGATCTCCGAAGCACGAACTCTTTGTTTTTTGAAGGCCTCCTACAACTAACGCAATCTGATAGGCAACGTGGATATCACAGCACAACGTGCGACCGCACAGCCTTCTCTTCCCTCTGCATATAAAGGAGGACTCGAGCCGTTTACGCACGTCCTGCAAAGTCTTCACCTAGTGCCCCCAATGTAAGCGTTCTTCTCTTCATACACTATACTGATAATCACACTCATTTCTTTTTCTCAGTACTCGCTTCAACACGAGATGCTCTTCGCGCTTTTGGTGGTCCTCGTCGCGGTTCTCGGAGATTGCCAGGCGAGGGAGGTCAACCGCACCATTGACGACTACTATGGCGACTCGGTCACTGGCGTCGTCCCGATATACAAACCAACAGCTGAATGGGCGGACGGCAATACATGTGACGCCTGTTATGTGAACAGCAGTAATGTCGACATAAGCAAGGTGTTCAAGGGCACCTGGCACGACTCAACGTGGTATCCTGTGAACACTGGCGAACGGTCGATCACGCTTACATTCAACGGGACGGCGGTGTGGGTGTATATGATCCTCGCAAACCAAATTCAGAGCACATCCACGACAACAAATCTCGCGTTTTCCTTAGACGAAATCCCGCGGGGGAAGTTCATGCATCCACCGGACAAGACGAACGACGTTCTGTATCAGCAGTTGGTATTCGAGAAGACCGGTTTGGCGCTTCAAACCCATTCTCTCGAGATCACAGGGACCGGGAACGAAGCATCACTCATGCTCTTCGACAATGTCGTTTACACCGCGTTCGAAGCTGATTATCCGACGGATAATCCATACCCCACCCTTGGCTCAAACCTTCCACTATCCTCGTCTGCGACAGCTCAGGGATCCCTCTCGGACGCCTCAGGCCCACCAACACATACGACCACAGTTACAGCTCATTCCATCAACTCTGTCGTCACAACGTCGCATCCCGACATTCTACCCACTGCATCAGTTATGACGGTTTCCACGACATCGCTTCCACAGAACGCTACCGTCAGCGGGACGCAATTGCCCTCGTCTAACCGCAGCGCAACGATCGCAGGCAGTGTCTGTGGAGGTATCGCTCTGCTTATCTCCGGGATTGTCCTCACCCTTCTCTACACCCGCCGCATTCGCGCCCGTACCATCGCGGTCACATTTCCACCTGGAACTGGCTATGGCAGCGAGAGCATCCCGGATCGCGTATTCGAGGAAACGTACAACGGGAGTTTGTCTCCAACATCGTATGTATCTCTTTCTTCCCCACAGACTTCCGCGTCGCACTTGCACTCCCATGAATCACATGTTATGGCGAAACTCATCTACCATTCTACAGATCGAAGGTGTACGGTTTCAACAAGAAGCTTGTGTAGGATGGAATCCCCGAGTAGAGCCTGTTTCGAGCGTACCGGGTTTGACAATGGCGATATTGGGCCGCAGCAGCTCTGTCATTGTAACGTCTTTGGGCAGCGTGTTCTCTGATATGTGATCTTGCGATATGATTATTTAATTTCAAGCACCGGCCCCGCATGCCATCTGAATGGCGACTCGTAGAATGCGTGTCAGTGTCGGTACGGTTAGTGTCTCCGGAAAGGAAAACGATTTTTCGTGCGAACGATCCAAGCCGCGGCAGTTCTGGGTTACCTTGTCAAAAGTATGAGAAGCTATGCCCACCATTCAACGACATACGTGCTGGGTACAGTGCTCGTGTTAGACTGAGGTACTGTGATTATCTATGTTGATTGGACTGAAATATTTTCGGGAACAGGAGCCATTCTTCAGCCGAGATGAGCTCTGAACTCGACGTATCATCCATCCTTGTACCAGACGCATAAACCTCCGTTAGCTTTCATGAAGTGTTGCTTCTGACGTCAATATACCACTCAGTTCCGGTATTCTATACCTAAATCCACTTTTCCTGTCACTTTCTCCACTCCCACTTCAGCCAACACCGCTTCCTTGTCGAGAGCGGCGTCCTCGGCGATCTCGGCTGGCGCATTTCGCATTTCTTCCTTGCCCCTTCGGGACCATCAAGCACTGTTACGCCCCAACTGCCCATCATCGGAGGCACGGCGTGAGGCATTGTGCTCCTCCTTCTCTGCACGATTTCGGCTGTCCGCACTCACGGCTATGCAGTGTGTCGACGTCGCAGTCCCGACCAGACGAAAAAGCCGGAATCAGATGCCAATGATCGACTCTGTTTACCAGTGCGCATCTCACGATTAATGTACCGTTCTCGCTGATACACGTAAGTCTCGTTGATACACATCCGTCCGTACGACGCTCGCGTTTTCCACGAGTGATTTGGTGTGTCATCGCTTTGCGCACCGGCGGCGTTGGCGCCTGCACTCACGAGCACGCCTCAGACGATGATAATTACCGCATCCACTAGCACCCAGAGTATCCCGGCTGGCTCCACGACGACCACGCGGCTCGGCAATAAGGTCGAAAACCTTAGGGCTCGCCGCTCGCATGCGCCCTGATTAAGTTCAACTCCACCAGTATCGACTTTGGGCGAGACGGACACGGAGATTTCGGCGGGGAAGAAAAATACTTTGTGGAGAGCTCGCGCCGCTCCGGGGTGCACTAGAGTGAGGGAGGGTCTATCGGGGCTACGTGCCGTCGTTGTAGTATGTACTCGTTATAGTACAGGCGACCGCCGGAGTCGTGCAGGAGTGGCCGGGCCGGCAATCCGGTATCCGCGTGAACCCCATCTGCCACGTGTAACGATGGCCTGGGCAGGTGACGCCCTGCTTCGTCTCCTCCCACTAACTTGCATCTCTGAAGCAGCATGCGCTCAGTCGACAGTTGCATGTATCACCGCCACAAACACTGAATTTCCAGCAGACGGTAGAACCGCGTGCACTGATGGGCGCCAGATGATTGCGTCGCATTACAAATATTGGATCGGTGAGGCATACCGCACAGTACGTGCATTCAGAGCGGTCCGGTGTGGAGCAAGTCACCGCTCGGCGCTCAACGCCCTCTTTCTGCAGATAGTGTTTGATCGTATATGGCCGCCATATCGACCGTGATTGCGAAAAAGGTGTAGGAGATGCTGCCGAGAAAAGAAAGAAGGAAGTCTGACTGAGCTCAGCCCCGCGTCTCCGGGCTTCGGTTCCAATGACGACTAGTGCGTACTATCAGTCTTGTTCTTCTGTCCATACGGCGCATTAACCTCCAGTTCGAGCAGGTCCTGTGTAGCGCAGTCAAAAACAGCTTCAAGCTCACGAGGCGTTTGTGACACTCTCCGACGTCGATGACGAGGACACACCGTTCTTGTACATTAACCTCGTGAACTTCTTAATGGCTGCGCTAGAACCCACAGCAAAGCACCGCGCGACGGCATTGGAGGTTTGAATCCACGCAGCACACATCAAGCGCTGCTCATGAAGTTGGCCCCGCGTTTGCTTGTGCTCCCCCGCGTGCGTTCATCCGATCTATACTCACGGATAAGAACGGGCTAACGCACTCTCAAGTAGATCCCCGTCCGAGCAACGTCCCGTCTATCACGGTCCATCTCTCTGCGCTTCAGTATGTCTTTCAGGCTCTCGCGCATTCTTCCTCCGAGTGCTCATACATCCCCGGTATATAGATGCGGCGACAACGACAAGAGTTTTACAGAGAATCGCGGCTATGGAGGCTTGCATGCGCATCCACGGCCACCCTCTGGTGTCGACAACGCCCCCGCGCGCGCCCCCTCCGCGGGAGAGTTCGCTTCTGCGTCACCAGGGGCGGGAGCTCTACCCGGGCCCCACCTGCGACCATCGTGGGCGGCGCCGAGTCAAAGCAGCGAGGGGTGCCCGCTGCTCTTTGTGGGGAAGTCGAAGCTCTTCGTACCGCCCTCGCGTGGGAGCAGCGGTGTCCGAGAGGGGACGCGCCGCACGTATACTCGCGAGAACAGGCCACATGTCGGGTGCTGTCGAGTTCATCACGCTGTCCTGTCATGCCGCTGCGGTGCGTTCGGCACTGTCTCCTATCTGAGTTCAAACCTTGGCAAAGTCGTTCCTTCGCATTCCAGCTTCTCGAAGCAAATTCCCAGGTTATCAAGGCCCTGTGCACCGCTTGTCCCCTGACTATTACTCATGGTTAGTATGGGTCCCATGGTATAGGCTGGTCATGTGAATATACTATGCTTGATACTCGAGCGGTCCCGTGCGGCTCTGAGTGGAGTTATGGGATCTAAGTTTGGCGCTTCCTGGCGGCGCAAGTACGGTGCGTCGCATCTCTGCTTTGATCACCAATCTAACAAAGGATGCCATCAGTCGGATTGAATTTATTGACTTGATCTTCTCTCCTCCCACGGCAGAAAAGCATGCACAGCGAGCCTGAGCTACATTTCCCCCTCCCCCACCCTCTTTCACCACCCACCGTAAGCAAATGTCGCTCTCCTTAAGACGAGAACGCCTTCCGTTAACGCAATCCCATGCTCCCCTAGATCATTATGCTCCCCATCCTCTTTCTCGCGATTGCATCCACCTTCATCCTCTGCGCAGAACGTGCCCGTGCAAAGCCGATCAACCAGACTATTGACGACCTCAATGGCGACTCAAAGACGGGCGCGCTTCCGGTCTTCCAGCCCACCGACGGATGGGCACAAGGCAACACATGCATCGGTTGCCGCGTCAACAACACCATCGCCGACGTTCACAAGGCCTTCGATGGCACTTGGCACGACTCGACGTACCACCCCGGCCAGCCCGACCGGGTTATCACCATGTCCTTCAACGGCACCGCGGTGTGGGCGTACACGCTGCTCGCGAACCAGATCGCGTGGACGACAACGATGACGAATCTGTCATTCTCTGTGGACGGCGTGCACAAGAGCGTCTTCACTCATAACCCGGATACGACGACCGACATTCTCTACCAGCAGCAGGTGTTTTCAATGTCCGGGCTCCAGTTGAAACCACATACTCTGGAGATCCGGGCGACGGGTACGGACGCGTCGCTTATCCTCTTCGACTATGTCATGTACACGACGGAAGTGGAAGATCCCCCAACCCCTCCCCAAGGAACTACTATATCCACGACTACCACGTCTCAGATTTCGGTCTCTCTACCTTCTAGCACCTCCAGTGCGTTCAGTCATTCCCCCACCACATCTGCATCGGGCTCACATCCTGGGACTTCTTCAAATTCTCCGCCCTCGGGAACGGGTACGCCTTCCACCCATGGTTCTGTCTCTTCCTCCTCTACTTCGTCGCCAGCCTCTTCGGACAATACTGCGCTTCCCCTCCCAACAGAACCTCCCGCTTCTTCGAACCTCGGCATCATCGTCGGCGGCACGGTTGGCGGTGCTGCCGTCCTTGTCCTCTTCGTTATCCTGGCGTTCCTCGTACTGCCCCGGAATCGCCCCCGCGCCTCTGAAAACGCGCAGGAAGAGCGTGTGGACGGGAGCACACACCCGCGTACGGAGTCCGATCGCAAGCTTCTCCTCGAGATGCGTGCGTCTTCTCGACATTCGCTCCACTCCGATGCTGACCGACGGCCCTTGGGTATTTGTACGCAATTCAGCGCCATGCCCACCTTCCGGCTCTCATCCCCACATTCCCCTGTCCCCCACCTCCACCAGCGCCCTCACCCGGAGCACGACGCTCGCCCGCTCCGACGCCGGCACGACCACCACCACACGCCTCCAACACAAGATCGGCGCGCTCGAAGGGCGCATGCGCGCCCTCCGCGCTCCCGCCCCCGCCCGCTCCCGGAGCCTCTTCTCTCGATCCACGCAGCCGATGTCGCGCGCGACGACGATGACAGGCGCGGGCACGCTAGGCCCGGTCGCGGACACGGAAGAGCTCGCGGCGTTGCGGGAAGAGGTGAACGCGCTGCGGATGGCGCTGGCTTGGGAGCAGATAAGCCGCGAGCCTGCGGACGCGCCCCCTGTGTACTCGCGGTAGGAGCCGTGCGCTGCGGGCGGGGTATGTACGCGTACATGTGGACTATGTATTGTGCGTTTGCACGGACAGAGACATCAGCGTGAGGAAGCACGCTTCGATCCGGGACCGCGCGGCGGCCGGGTGGGGAGGCTGCAGCTGACGGCAGTTCTGCTTCGCGATGCTGGAGAGGGACTCGAGTGCGAGGCAGGCACTGCAGAAAGCCTGATCAAGCGTGGACTGTGCTGCGGTAAAGTATGCAGCGCACGTACGCCGGTGCACATGCTGCAGCTCCCCCGGCTTCACGTCCTCCAGACCCAGACTTTACCGCAGCACAGTCCCACCCGCCGTGCGACCCACGCACGGACCATGCTCGTGGCGTCTTTAAATTGACCTGTGCTCCTGCCGTTTGCACACTACGCACGTCTCCTCCTCCCGCCTCGCCTGCAAGCCCCATGCTCGTCATTCTACGCATGACTGGTGCATGTGTAAGTCATAGCGTCGTGTCAATAATTTCTGTGCCCCCCATAAGCTGACATCCGATCGCGAATACAGCCAGGGTTGCTTGCGCGCGATGCGCTCTGGCGTCCACTTTAATGGACACAGACATTCTCTGCAGGCGCGGTGAGTCGTCCGTCTACTGTTCTGTACGATTCCCCATCCATTGCAACCCTATCGCTCGACCGGCGACTACGTTCTTCGCTGTTGCTGGATCTTGGACCATTGAGGTTACGGCCCCTCATTGGGGATTGTCCTCAATACCGGGCGTCATGATCACCAATCATGCACGCCTGTCAGGGTAGATTATCGCCTGGGCGGTAGTCACCTATCCTGCCTGGACACGAGTCCTGGCAGACCGCGCGCCGGGGCATGCGCCACCCGGCAGTCTGAGATCGCCGAACGGTGTCGAGTATGAGGGGTGTTTACTCATTCATTCTCGTCGCGTTTTTCGTCTTCTTGAGCGCTGACTGTCGTGATCTCGCAGCTCGCTATCAGTAAATACGACCCACCCGCCTGCGGACGTAGCCGGTGTATTTATGAGTCCCTAGGTGAGCTCTAGTTCGTTAAAACCACTCCCGCCCGACGATGAGGAGCCCCGGCCAGGGAAGCGAAACCTACATAAGCCCTCAATACAGACGAACTCCTCGACACTCGTATTTGCATCATACCGACAAGCGGGTCTCGGGCGTCGTCTTCCGCACGCCAGCCTCTGATGCCACACATAGACGCCTCTTTCGCCCCCAGGCCAGAGACTAGGTGAGTGCTCTCTCAGTGGAACCCTATTTGCGCGCGCAAATACCCTATCACTCGACCTGCCATCGTCGGAGAATCGGACTTCTACGTCCGTCTCCGACTCGGGCGGGCTGGAGACGACGCCGCGCCGGTCTCTAGCGGTAGCCGCCTTCGGAGCTCTTGCAAATGCCAAGGCATGAGTGCGGTGTCATCGGGCGCTGTCAGAGAAGCCAAAGGGCTCAGACGTGAAAGTGCTCGAGGGACGCTGGGGCTGCTGCATCCAGGATGGACTCTGGCTGTCGAGCACCGTGGAGGGGCATATTTAGGCACGCGTCGCTGTCTTCTTCGCGTCTCATCCACTACTTGCTGACCATTTGTGACCATTGAGCGTGCAGGGTTCGTAAGGGCGACTCCAGGTGTACATCTCGACATGGCCCTTTGTGAGTCCTAATTAGCACTGTTTCCTGGCAGACCCAGCGTTGCGGACGAGGCGCTTGCGTGCGCTCTTCAGATGAATGATTTACGCATCAATTGTTTCAATAAGCCGCCTCCCGATTCTGCATCTGGATATGTGTCTTAGCAGCACACCCGCCTTGTCGCTCGATCTGCGACCGTGTTCTCCATGGTCGGCAGTGCCGGCCGGAGGCACGCCCTCCCGCGTCACCGCGCGGATCGTCGGCCCTGAGCCTTGCCCTGTTTCTTCGAGGAATCGATTTCATAGAGTTCCAGACATCCTGGATAGACGTCTGCGAAACACGCTCCGTCTTGTGTGGATATTCACACACGGAAGCTCAGGTGGTCCGAGATCTTGGCGCATGTTCGAGTATGAGGGGCATCTTACATTCCGTTCTTTTTTTTTCGTCCTTCATGTTTGGTTGCTGACTTCGGGCCACCAGGGTATCGAGGGCCGTGCTCACCATGCACTGTGCAGGTTAGTCCAGAGTCCAACAGCGTCCGAATGCCACTGACAGATACGGTGAAGTTGTTTCAGTGTGCGCAGACTTCCAGGCAGCGTCCTAGCTGGCCTGCGGCGTCAGTGAACTCGGGATAACCTTGACCGCGCCCGCGCGAGCCAGTGTGTGGCACGTGTGCGGTGACTTCGTGCTAATCGACGCAGCGCAGTGTTGCGTCTCGATGGGCTGATCGGTGCAGGAGGGCGGATGTGGGTATCGAACTAACGTAACATACGGTGTACGCGTGGCTCATGCTCTCCGACCGAGGGTCGTATCTAACGACACACAGTGTGAGTGCGAGCTCAGTCGGGGACAATAGCGACTGAGGTATGGGCGAGCGGTCGAGCGAGCGCTGTGCCGGGGCGTTCGGAGAGAGCCGAGGAACTGTACAGTACCAACTAAACTAAAATAGGTATGGCCAGTATCGGACGTCCGTCCTCGAGCTGCATCATATGAGATAAGATAATGTAAGGAATCAACAGTATCGCACGCGCACAACGAAGCGCAAGGAGTTTATGGACGTAGTTGGGAAACATTGCGCACTGTGCCCGTTGACTGCGACTAATCCTGCGGTGTGCGCGGCGTGGACTCACCATCACAGGGCAGAGTTATACCCGATGACCCATGCAAGGGGTTCTGCATCCGTTGTTCCGATGTTTGGATAGTCCTTAGTCCGCGAATTGGGCGAAGGCGCGGCGGAGACGAAAGGAGGAAGGTTCAGAGTACGAGTCGACTGGCACAGGCGGCATTTGCCGAGCGGAGCCCAAATGGACTGACGTAAGGCGTTATCAATCACCGCGCCCTCTTCCTCCCGCACCTCGCTGCCTGATGGCTGGCTTTTTCCCGCCTGGGAAGGATCCGTTGGATTCCATCCTGTCCGTTCCTGGGAGGGAGCACTGCGACGACCCGCGCAAGCTCTCCGAGTTCATCGAGCGGTCCCTCCGCGACCTCCGGATAGCGAACCAACTCGTCAGAAGCGAAATCATTCTCTTACCCAACGCATCTCCCCTTGCTGCCCGTCGACTCCAGCAAGTCCCCGACGACTGGCGGACCGACTTCTCGCTCGCCGGCTTCGGCGCCCTCGGCGCCCTCCTCGGTCCACGCCGCCTAGCCGGACCCTCGCGCCCCGATTCTCCACCCCCAGGTTTTTCCCCCTTTTGTACCCGCACGCGCTGTCGCTCACGCTCTCAACCACAGACACCGCATACACCCTCAACCGCCACGTCGCCTACCACCCCGCCGCGCCGCCCATGCACCTCGACCTCCGCCAGCCCCCGGACGCGGTCCGCTTCCACGCCGCCAACCTCGCCGCCTCGCACCACCGCGGCGCGCACTGGCTCGCGCTCCCGTTCTCCGACCCGCCCATGCGCAGCGCGCGCCTCGTCCACCCGCGCCTCCCGTGGCTCGTCGACGTCCCGCGCCACGACGGCCCCCTCGTCACCCTCTTCGACGTCCTCTGGGCGCTCCACGCCGTGCTCCACGAACCGCTCGCCGAGGCGGACCTCTTCAACGTCTTGATGGACGAGCGCGCGCGGGCGGCGGTCGCTGCGGCGTTCCAGGCGCGGTGCGGGACGGAGGAGGAGCGTGCGCGCGGCGCGAGGCGGGTCGACTTCCTGATGGGCGAGGTCGTGATGGAGGGCGTGCGGCCCGTCGAGCGCGGCATGTGGGAGGTCTGCACGAGGACAGACAGCGATTGGGAGGTGGAGGGAGGTCCGTGAGTTCGATAGGTCAAGCTGGAGGGGGTTGGTGAGGAGCACCGATTGTGGGTGAGCCCGCCGTCCGTCTGAACATCGCTGATTCCGCGAAGTTGCTCTCTGCAGGAAAGCTATCTGTGGCGGTCATCGCGCTCGCGATCGTCTTCAATCTCCATTATTTGGCTGGTGTGAGTGATTACTCTTGAGGGAGAGATGGTCACTGATCGCAGAACGGTGTCATAGTATACGACCGTAGCAGGAGACGACGTTTGATTCAGGTACTAGTAGCAGTAGCCGTGAAGTTGGTGTGTAAAGAATCATGTATTATGTGCTGTGGTAAATTCCATGAGACAATTTGCTGCACACGAAACCTATATTCGCACTGTCACGGCAGACATACATCATAACCGGCAAGAAATTCGAAAAGAGCTTCTTGGGCGTTTTGGAATCGAGCGTCTATCTCCACGCACATGACCGCTTTCCACGTGCGCGACTGTCGGCCACATTTTTGCGACTCGTTCTTTGGCCTCCTCCATGGACGTCCACTCTGATTCTACCCTTCCCATATCCCTCGACGCTCACGACATGCCGCCCAAATCGGGTTCCTACCACAGCCTTCCTCGGGGCTCCGTACAAGGCTGATCTCTTCGCTACCCGACACACGCAGCCGTTACCGGAGCTGAAGAGTGCGGGGCGGAACTGGAGCCAAATAGGGTTGGGCTTGAACGCAGTATGTGTGTTTACCTCTATCGCTCGTATTCTTGCGCAACCAAGACGTGCCCCCCTTCGTCCTGTGGCAGATGTTTCCTCGTCTCACACCGGTGGTCCTTGTCGCGCGCCGGAGACGCAAGACTAAGGGCATCCGTCTTCCGCAGACGATGGGACGTACCACCCGCCGGACCCGCCCATTCCAGCCCCTATTTCCTGCCCTCAAGTGGGCCACTCTACGTCCTGGACGTTTGAACGGCGAACATTGAACGTTGAACGTCCATATGCGCCTGCTGACCATCAGTGAGTCTCTGCGCCCGGCCTCCGCGACATGTCCTCCGAACGGAGCGCTCGCCGTCGACGACACGCACGCGACACCGCTCGCCGACCCTCATGGTTTAGAGGTTGCCTCTGAGGCGTCCATGGCGGCTTGGCTCGTCGGATCCCAACTCCACCGATACAAGCTCACGGGGCGCAGTCGGCCGCAGGCCCACGGATCTGGCGTTTTGTGGGCAGCGTTGTGGTACTCGGGCGTGCAACATCGCTTGCTGGCGCACTGGCATTCGGTCTTCCCGCCACTTGACTCGGTCCGGTTGGGCTAGGAAGCCGCCTGTGCACGGTCGTGGCCTTTACTGGCCATGGAGGACGTCCGGCTCGCGCGCGGTCCACTTAGCGCCGGCCTCGCCTACTCTGGCCCGGTGGGAGCCGGGCGGTGACCTTGGCTGGCCGCGGTGGAAGAGCGAAGGCGAGCAGGAAATAGAAGGGGGCGGTGTCCACAGCACGTTTCCATGGACGCTTCGAGGACGGCGTATATGACTTGCTAGCCCCGCAGCTGTGCCCTAGATTCACTCTCCAGGCCCTCCGCGCGCCTATTCCGAGTACAGCTCTCCCCGTATTCCATCGCTGTGGAATCCTCTCTTGGTCTCCCATCGCTTCTTCTGACTACACCCACCCATACGCTCCGCCCAAGGACCGTGGATCAGCCGGGCGTATGCCATAGCCGAGGATGCCGGGCCATGGATCGCTGTATTAGCATTACGCCTTGCCCGTGCACGCGATCCTTGATATAAAGCTATGGCTGTTTCCCGACACGTACGGCGTTCTCCTCTGCCTCCATGCCGCCGATATCCCTCTCTCCCAGGCTAGCCGCAGCGTCGTCATCCCCATCCCCATCATCCTCCACCTCGACTATCCTGCCCTCCATCGCGCTCTATGCCTTCACATTGACCTCGCGACAGTCATATCAGCGGATACCTCGCTCGCCGGATCACCGCGATGTCACGGTCACTGTCGCCGTCGCCACGACAGTCACGGTGACGTCCACCGCGACAGTGACATGGGACGCATATATCCAGTCGCCGTTCCCTCCAGCACCGTCCACACCGTTGCTGCCTCCTTCCGGCGGAGAATCACCATCATCGGCCTGGCCCGAGAGCTCGCCATTCCCCAGTTCGCATTCCGCGAGCTCGATGCAGTCCCGACAAGTGCAGCTCTTCATCGGGATCGGGGCTAGCATCCTGGTCCTGCTCATCGCCGTGATAGCTGCAGTCCTCGTCTGGATTTGCTATCGCCGGAGGATGCGTCGCTTCGAAGCGCCTGCTCATGGTGATAGAGGTGCGTCTCCCGAAACCCTCCAGCAGCGTCCGGCCCTCACACAAACGGTGCAGCCGTGGACATCTTCGAAACACCCTCAAGCAGAGTGACGCCGTACCCGTCGACGTGCTCCGCGGCATCCGTCCACTCTGGCTCAAAACTCTCCCCTTCCCCGCTCACCCACTCGCCCTCGCTGTCCATCCACACCCCGCTCTCGAGCTCACCGTGCCGCTCGCCCTCCTTCCCCTCGGCGTCCCCCCCGCCGATCACGCCCACATTCGCCTTCAACGTGGACGACGGGCCGCCCCTGCCGGCGCCGATCTCGACCCCGTATGCCGTGCAGGACCAAGACCCGCCGGAAACCCCGCCGCCGCCGTACTGCGAGACCGCCGCGTCCGCGCCGACGTCGGTACCCGCACCGGAACCGGCGGTGCTTCGCGGCCCGGTGGTCGTGGTGGTGCCGTGCACGGGAGCCGACTCGCGCCGGCCGTCGCTGTCGCGCTTGAGCATCCCCGCGTTCGTTGGCTCGTCACATCCATACACTCCTTCTTGTTCACCGCGCTCTTCATTCACTTGAGCCTCCGCTCAACCCCACGCTCGTTCCCCGGGACCTTGGCGTCCGTCGCGTCCCGCAGCTCGTTCTTGGAACGCGGCTTGACGTCGCCACACGCCGTGCTACCTCCTCTTCCGACTTCCCCATGCGGATACATGTATCTCTAGCTTGCCTTCTTACCCCCATACCGTTCGTCCTGCCTAGCGCCGCCCGACGTGCGCGGCGAGCGTCCCACCGCCTATCCACCGTTACCCTGTCCATAGCGCTTCGGCTACGTTACTTTGTATTCTAGATCTTGCTATTCTTGCGGCGTAGAGACTTGGAACACACCGCTTCCCGAGTCGCCGTATCTAGTGCTCGCGAGCCACCGCCACGTCCACCCGTGCCGATGCATCGAAACTCTGAAGATCTGACATCTGAGTGCGCTTCGCAGTACTTGGGTGTATTTGGGCGCTTCTCCACACACGTGCGCACTCCATTTTCCAAGTGGGCTGCGGTCTCGGTCTGGAAGCTTCCTCGACGTGGGATATCCAGATGTCCAGCACGAGGCTACCGTCCGAGCCTTGTGTTGGATATCCGGCCATGTCATCCTCTCGCTGGGGGCGTTATGGACGCTGCAGCGTGGTGGAGGATATCCTGATGTTGCTGCGTGCATGCCGCGTGCTTGGGCGACGTCCCAGGCCCTGCTCGAGTTATATGGCCTATCCGGCACTGGCACTGGCACAACATTCGCCTCTCGCCCACCCAGGCGTATATATCAGGCTCCAACAGTCCCTCTCCGACTCCCCACATCGACCACCGGTCAGTCACAGAGCCACCCTCCCATCCGTTCCTCGTAACCGCAGCCACGATAACCCGCATGGCTCCGGCTACCGTGACCGCCCTCCTCCTCTCCCCCGACTCCACGATCCCTGACGCCGCCCGCGTCGCCCATGCAGGCTCCGGAAATGGGCAGGAGCCTTCACCCCTCGCTCTCCTGTACATCTTCCTCGCGGTCCTCGTCACCGTACTCGCCGCCACCTGGTTCAGCATCTGCGCCCCGGATAGAAGACGCCCAACGCTGGCTGGGACCGCCCCGGTCGCCCCCGCTGCAGCCGGGAAAAGACAAGAGCCGCTCGGGCCGGCGGGCGGCAGAACGGCGGGGCCACGGCCACTGCCACGCGCCCACGGCGCTGCTCGACCCGCTGGCGCCGCCGGTGAGTGGGGCTTGTTTTTGCGTCGGGAGCACGGCGCTCACTCCTGCTGGCGGTGGTGACGGGTCGCGATCGACTTTCGCCGTTCACAGCACCCGTCGCAAGCGTGGAGAGAGGGCGCAAAGGCGCGACTGCGTTCGTGACCGGGACGCCGCGGTTCTGCGAAGGCGCGGCGACGGTGCCAGCGCCGCCGCAGGCGGCCGTTCCACCCCTTTGGGGCGGCGGCGGCGGACGGGTGTCGATGGCGTGAATCAATCCGGGCTGAGGTCGTGGGGTGAAAGGGAGCGTGCGTTGCGTAGATGTGTACGAGAGCGCGTTCGGGATGGATATTGATCTCGTGCTTCCGGCCCATCGCGGGGAGGCGGTCGACGCCGAGCGCTGAGCCTGGAGGGGCGGGGAGATTGCGTCCGATCTGGTGTGCTTCTCGCCTTTGGCCTTGTGGAGTAGTCGCACGAAGGCACGGTTGCGACCGGGACGTGTGCCGCGCGCGGAGGCACGTTGGGACGGGTGCGAATGTGTCGGAGCGCAGGGCGCGGGAGTCGCGACTCACTGAGTCGAGGGACGTTGCTGGTCGGTGCCTGCGCGACGCGGATACGCGTCTCGAGATGATGAGCTGGGAGACCGAGGTGGCTCAAACTGTCAACGGACGGGATACGGCTCTCTCATTGCGCGGGGTATGAAGTAGACAGCGACTGGACAGCATGTGATACATACAGACGCACTTCGCGCTCAGGGACCATGCTCTACCACAGGGTGGACCTACTCCAGACGCACCTCGGCAGTGGCTAGCCTAGGGTGACAAGTGATCAGCAAGGATGCCTTCGCGTGCGGAGGAGAGGCAGAAAGAGACGCGCCACGAGAAGCCCCTCGTGCTCGACGCACAACTGACCCGAATTCGGGGTGGCCGCCCCAACTACCAGGCCTCGTGAATGAATCGACTGGTGTCAGTTCCTGTGGTAGCATTATCGTTCGGGGGTCAGCATCCGGAGGACGGCCTTTGGCTCCGGACAGCAAGTGTCAGGACAAAGTCCTAACGCTCGCTAATCGAGTGATAGGGCGGGGCGCAAAAAGGTAGTAGCAGACGACGAAGGGTACTCACTGGATCCAGTGCAACGGCGCTCGGGGCACACACGCCGCCAGCCCTCCTCACACTTGTCCAGAGTCTGCAAGCCGTTTATATGAGCCAGGAGACGGCCCGAAGGAACCGCACCTCGCGTACGATGTCGAGTCAGGGAGCCATGGCCACCCCGGAGACGCACTCAGAGCCTCGATCATCACCGACGTGTTATGTGAGGCGTGGTCGAAGGACTGACAGGTGGCCGAGCTGACGGCGGGTAGCCGGCGTGGTGGGTTGACGGATGACCAGGGCGGGCGTAGTACGGATAGCCCAGCTGCATGTTGGAGGAGGAGGAGAAAGAGGAGAGAGCGAGTTGGCTGCCAGATGGCGACACGTGGCAACAGACGCTCGTTCACTTTTGTCCGCGAACGACGATGCTTGAAGGACAGTCGCCTGCCTTCGACTTGCCGTTCACTTGGCCGTTCACTCACTCGAAAACAGCTCGACAGCGGTCACTGATTCACCGCTTGCACTACATGGATCCTCGTTTGCGCGTCAGGCTATGTACCCTCACATCTTCCGGGCTCCATCGCTTTGCAGCCATGTTATCCCACTAATGCCGGCGATCCGCAACCCACGACAACCCAGGCCACTTCGTCGGATACATGTAAGTTGCCATTCCTCCTGGTATCGCTGCACAATCCGACCCGCACGGTGCAGCGAGCAGGCGCTTGATGCGTGGGTGCGCGCTCTCGAGAAGCCGCGTGCCCCGTCTACTAGCCAGCCTTTTTGAAAAAGCGCGACCATTCTCTCTGCCTGTCCTCATCCAGTCAACGTACGCCTTGATCCCATCTGCCCCGCTCTCTGCTAATTTCCCTTGTTCCCTCTTCCCCCGTGCGCAACAGAAAAGTCTCGTCATCGCTCACCCAAATGTTCCAAAGACAGCCGGGGCCTTGCAGACTCATCAACACACCCAAAGGGTGCTACTTTGGCAAGAAGTGCAAGTTCTCTCACGACGTCGAGGCCTCTGGAGGAAGAAGCCAAACGTCAAGTGCTCCTTCCGCTTCCCGCACGGCCGGCCCTCCCGCCGACCACGTTCCTCGACCGTCTCCTCGACAGCCTCCTCGTCGTCCCACCAACGTGCCGTCCGGTGTGTGTGACTTCTTCTGGGGGAGCGGAGCGTGTGCGAGGGGGTTCGAGTGTCGCTTCAAGCACGTTAGAGGGGAGGGGGAGGCGGTCGCCAGCGTTCCAGACGAGGAGAACGGTGCTGCGGTAGATGCTGCCGACGACACCCCGCTCGATATCTTCTCACCGGAAGGCCTTGCCGCCGGCGCCGGGGGCGTGCAGCAAAAGCACCAGCTCGACCCGAGCGAGGTCCACAACTACCTCCAGGAGTTCCTTCGCGATGGCTTTGCCTTCACCTCTCCCAAGAGGGTGCAGGCGTTCGTCCGTATCCTGGCCAGCGTCAACGACGGCAACAAGGCATGGGTACGTAAAGCTGTCGCGCGCCGGTTGGATATGCTGGGTGACTGAACCGAACCTCAAGAACACGGACAGCGCGCAAGAACTATCGCGTGTACTAGTCAAAGTACGGACTCCCGATACAATATCTACCCTCATCTGACGCTAGTTTAGGGAAATGGACTGCGCCGGATCGAGGATGTGCTTCGCTTCAGCCCCGTCACAACGAGTGTGGGCACTCCGGCATCTGCAGCGCTCTCTTTCCAGAGGGGATACTTCCCACTCGTCCAGTTTCTTGCTTCCGACCTGGTGTTGAAGTCGACCCTGCATCAAAACGTGAAGTGCGCATCCCCAGACACCTCTCCGTACTCGGTCCTGACTCTTGTTTCCCAGTGCACTGTACTCAGCTGTGCTCAACAACCACGATGCCGTCTTTGCCACCCTCCAGCGCTGCATCTCGGAAATGATGACCGTGAAGTCGTGGAAGGATCACACGACTACATCCCAGCAGAGCCATCTCAACGGCCTTACGATGTTCAGAGCCCTCTCCACCGTGCTCCTCCAGTAAGCAGTCCTCTTGCAGTGTGTCCCTGCGGTTCTCATCCAATTCACGCAGGTACTTCCAGCGCTTCAGAAACAGTATCCGTGAACACGACAACATTCCCTCATTTGTTCAAGACCTCGCGTCCCATTTTAACAACTGGGCGGACGACGTCTGCTCGAACAGCCCGCGGTTCGAGGACTCCATCACCGCGGTCCCGGCGCAGACCAGGAACCTCGTGATCACCCACGTCCGGGACGAAATCGCCCGTCTCGGAGCCATCGTGGAGCGCGAGTCCGGGGTCGTGATGAAGCTCCAACTCGTGCTGCCCCAGTCCGCTCTCACTTCCGCACAGAAGAGACAGGCGTGGATCGCGCAGCTCGCGTTCGTGTACGACCCCCCGGGCGCCCTGCGCGCGAGCGGCCCGCGGCACGACAACGACCACGAGCTCATCCGGGACATCGCGATCGCGCCGACGCACGACGAGATCTTCGCCGCCGACGCGCCGTACCTGCCCGTCTTCAGCCCGGACGCGGAGCACCACCTCCCCGCGGACTCGATGGACCGCCACCTCGACATCCAGTTCCGGCTCCTGCGCGAAGAGCTCATGTACGCACCCCCTCACTCTATCGCGAGATCTCGCTGCATCTCACCCCTCCTGCACGCAGCTCGACCACGCGCACCTCGCTCACCGTCCTGCACGACGACCTCGTCCGCGCGCGGTCTCCCTCCCGAAAACCGGGCGACGCGCCGACCCAGCTCGAGAAGCTCCTGGCGGTCGGAGGCGGCGCTTACCGCACGACCGGGCCCGACTCCGCCTACTTCCAGCTCTACACCGGCGCCGAGCTCCTCCCGCAGCCGCCGTCCGCGACGCGGCGCGGACTCGCCGTTGCCCTCAGGCTCGACGCGCCCCCCGCCAGCACGGCACGCGACGCCAACGCCGACAAGCGCGCGGAGTTCTGGGCGCGCGGGAAGCGCCTGCAGAACGCGGGCCTCGTCGCGCTCGTCGTCGTCGCCGACGGGGCCGCGCGCGCGCACCTGGGCACGGTGACGTCGTCCGCGCGGGACCTCGCGGACTCGGCGCGCGGGAAGGACGACTGGGTCGCGGTCAGCGTCGCGTTCTTCGACGCGGAGGTCGAGCTCATGGCGCTCCGCGGGGAGCGGCTGTCGGGCCCGCGGGGGAGCGGGCGGTTCGCAGTGCTGGTCGACGGCGGGGTGCTGTTCGACGCGGTGCGGCCGTTCCTGCGTAAGCTGCAGACGGTCGAGCCGACGGCGATCCCGTTCGCGCGGTACATCGCGAGGGGCCCGTCGCTGGCGGGGGTCGAGGTGCAGCCGCCGCTGTACGCGCGCCAGCCGCTGTTCAAGTTCCGGCTGCAGTGTCTGGCGAGGGAGGGGATGACGATCGCGGACTTGGACGTCGGGATCCCGAAGTCTGTCGAGCGCGCGCGCGATCAGCTGAGGCGGCTGAGCGTGTTGGACCCCAGCCAAGCGGAGGCGGTCGTTGATACGTTCGTGAGAGAGATATCGCTCATACAAGGGTGCGTTTTTCGGTGGATCTGCGGGCGGAAAACTCATGTTCTTTCTTGTTTCAGTCCTCCGGGAACTGGGAAGGTTCTCTCGCCCCTCCCGTTTCGCTGCGGTCCGTCGCGCTGACGTCCTACTTTCTTGTAGAGTTATACGGCGAAAGAGATCATTCGCGTGTTCATCTCGAGCGAGGTCCGGCCTATAGGTGAGCATCCCGTTAATCTACTTGCGCTAAATACACTGATCTTGTCGTGCAAGTCCTGATCGCCTTCACAAACCACGCACTCGATCATATGGTGGAGTCTGTCCTCGACGGCGGCATCACGGACAAGATCGTGCGGCTCGGCAATCGCTCCGACAACGAGAAGGTCGCGCAGTTCTCTCTAGACAAGATAGAGAGAAGTGGGAGGGCGGAACGCGGGACATCGGCGTTCGACCGGTCGATCGGCGGCCAGTTCCGCATCATGAAAGAGTTGGAAGAAGAGATGACGAGGACGATGATGAATATCCGGCTCCCGCGCGTCAACTGGCACAGGATGGAAGAGTACCTGGACGAGCACCACCGCGCGCATGCGGACTCGATACGTACTCCGCCGACCTGGATCGCACGCTTTCATGAGATGAAGAAGTCCGAGGAAGAAGTCGCGGGAGAGTTCCACGACGTGCAACGCAAGAAGGCGAAGAGGGCCGCGTTCGTCGACGCGGCGTTGCATCGCACGATGTACGGCCTGTGGAGGAAGGGCGAGGACATTGCGTTCCTCTCTCAGCCGAAGCCCAAGAAGTCCAAGAAAGGTAAAAAGACGGCAACGGATGGCAACAAGGGGAACCCGACAGCTGCTAACGAGATCGCCGACGAGGCCCGTCTCTACTTGACCGATCCAGACTCGTTTTTTCGGTTTATCGGGGAACGCCAGCCGACTGTACCCCGCAAAAACCGGTGCGTAGAGGTGTTGAAGGCGACCTGCGACATGTGGTCGATGTCGCAGGCCGAGCGCACGATGCTTGCGGAGGCATTGGAAGACGATGTTCGCAAAGAGGCGTATCGTACGGAGGGGATCCAGTACGCGAAGCTAAAGAAAGAGTATGAGGAGGCGTGCGAAGAGTATGACCAGATGCGCGAGGAGGTGAGCAACAGTGATCTGTTCATCTACGCTCACCAGCTGACCGCCCACTCTTCTAGATACGGCGTCGCATACTCAGTGACTCCGACCTGATTGCTTGCACTACCACAGGAACGTTCATATCGTTGCCAGTTGCGAAGGCATTGCGCTAATCGTTCACTGTGATTTAGGAGCCGCATCCCTCACTTCCCTGCTTGAGGTATTTCCTCGTCTCTGACAGATATACCACCTCATCATCTAACGCTACACTGCAGAGCGTCCGGCCGAGAGTGCTGATGGTGGAAGAGGCTGGTCAGGTGCTAGAAGCTCATATTCTTGCGTCACTCGTTCCGTCAGGTCAGTCTATTTATATCGCCACCTGCCATTCTCTTACGTATCAATGCCAGTTCACCACCTCATCTGCATTGGCGATCCGCAACAGCTTCGTCCCACTCTCGCCAACTACAGTACGTGGGCAAAACGATGCTCGTTACAACTTCCCGTACTAACCGCCCGTTTAAAGCGCTTTCGATGGACAGTAACATCGGAAAAGAGCTGTATAGGCTCGACAAGTCACTCATGGAGCGACTTCACGACAATCAATACCCCATGTCCCAAATCAACGTTCAGCGCCGGATGCGCCCAGAGGTCTCGCATTTCATCAGGTTCGTAACATCTAATGAGCGTTCTTTGCGTGTTAACGCGGTTCTACAGAACGATCTTGTATCCTAAACTGGAAGACAACGCGCTCGTCCTCGAGTATCCGCACGTTCGAGGGATGCAGAAAGACGTGTTCTTCCTTGACCACCAGCACAAAGAGAATGGGACTGAAGACTCGGTGTCCAAGCACAACATGTACGAGGTGAGTCCTCACTGCCACCATCATGAACCTCACAGGTGATGGACTTGCAAATGGTCGCAGGTGAAGATGATCAAGGATCTCGTGCTTTACTTCCTCAATCAAGGAACATACAGCCAGGAAGGAGATATCGCCGTCCTGTGCGCGTATCTTGGTCAGCTACAGAAGTTTCGTGCCGCGCTGTCCGGTCTGAAGGTCAAGGTCATCCTGGATGAACGCGACGAACAGCAGCTGGCAAAGCAAGAGCTCGACGAACAGCCCAGCGTCGAAGAAGTCTCCGTTACCCAGCAGGTGAGGTCCACCATTATGTTAGATTGCGCAGGTCGCTGACGTTTTGATAGCTACGTTCTGGTACCGTCGACATCTTCCAGGGACGTGAAGCCAAGATCGTCATCGTGTCTCTGGTACGGAACTCAGGGCAAGCAGAACCCAGCAACAGATCGTCGATAGGGTTCCTGAAAGTGAGTTTCTTCGGCAGGCACCCTCGTCGCCGATGATGTTCACATGATGCAGAGCGTAAACCGCATCAACGTAGCTCTCTCCCGCGCGAAACACGGCTTGTATGTTCTCGGCAACACCGCGGACTTGCGACAAAATGATACATGGGCCACCATCCTGACCGAGATGGAAGCGCACGATCAGATCGGCAGCGCATTCCCCACCATCTGTCCCCGCCACCCCGAACAGGTGAATCTCATCTCTCAGCCGGGGGTGCTGACTCGAGTCGCGCCTGCCGGAGGCTGTCTGCGCAAATGCAATCTTCCAATGCCGTGCGGTCATACTTGCACAGCCGTGGTGCGTTTACCTTTCCCTCCTTTCATACTCGCGAAAGCTCATGAACGTCTTAGTGTCACGCAGTTCTCGACGACCATCGCTCGGCGTCGTGTCCCGCCCCTTGTACCCGCACACCTTGCGCACGCGCCCATCCTTGTCCTAAGCGCTGTTCGGATGACTGTGGTGACTGCGTCTTTCCCGTGTACAAGGTCTCGCTCCCGTGTGGGCATACGGCCCCTGTCCTCGAATGGTGTGTTATCGTGAACCACGATCATCTCACTCTTCCTGATATCTGATTCGCTTTTTCTTAGTCATGTCGTGGATAACATCGCCGAGTACAACAGTTGTAGTGTTCGGGTCCGCAAGCAGGTCCCCGACTGTCAGCATTGGGCGGTCATGCCCTGTCACCAGGATCCTTCGACTCACATGTGCAAGGAACGCTGCAACGCAACGCTACCGTGCTGCAAGAAGCAGTGCGAAGCGAAGTGTCATGAATGCAAGAACCTACCTCCCGTGGAGGAGCCGGAATCGAGCGCGACACCGACGGCGGTGCATATGCCACACAATTGTGGGCGCAAGCTCTACTGCCAACATCCATACCACAGCACGGACGTGACATGTCAGCGTCACTGGTGTCGTCGTCAGTGCCTCCATCAGCCGTGTACGAAGCCCTGCTCTGTTCCGTGCGAGCCCTGCATGGAGCCCTGCGCGTGGGTATGCGAACACGTGGCTTGTCCTCTTCCGTGCAGCGCAGTATGTTTCGCAGCTGGATGCTTTGAAAGCGGCGCAGCTCATGGCAATAATATCTCAGGTCTGTATCCGTCTTCCTTGCGACGAGCCATGTCAAGAAACCTTGTCGTGTGGACACCCTTGTCCATCTGGTAAGAACAATATCTCCGTACAAATTATCGTTGAGATTGCTGAATCGATTGCCATCCCAGTTTGTGGTGAACCATGCGCGGTCCAGACATGCGCACGGTGTCTCCTTGAGAATGCTGAACGAAAAAAGCGCCTCGACTACGTCAACTTGCTCACTCTCGCGCAGATTAATCTCCATTCCACCAACATCGAGGAGCGCCTCATCACCCTGACTTGTGGTCACATATTCACCGTAGAGACTCTGGACAGTCTATGCAACATGCGCCTTTTCTACGAAATCGACCCGGCCACAGGCCAGTATCTCTCCTTCAAGGCGCCTCCGCCTGCCTACCAGGCCATGCCGTTGTGTCCTCGATGCCAAGGCCCCGTCACCGCGCTCCGCTACGGCCGGGTCACCAAACGCGCCACGATGGACATCATGGAGCAGAACGTCGCGCACACCATGTCCAAGCACGTCGACGCCTGCGCCGCCGCGGTCCAGAACCTGATCGCGAACACTCTCCCGAAGCTCAAATCCAAAGTAGCGTCCCTCAAAACCGACTCTCTATCCACCGCGGCTCCACCGGCAGCAGCAGACGCGGCGCCCATCGAGCAAGCCGAGATGCTCCCCACGCACGTCCTCCGCACCGGCAGCTTCCCAGGAGCATCGGAGGGCCTCGCGGACCACGACGCGCGCGCGTGGGCCACGCTCGTCGGCCCCGCGCTCGCCGTCTACGACCGCGCGCTCGCGCTCTCGGCGACGCCCAGCGCGCACGCCACTGCGCACGCCGCCGCGCGGCAGACGCTCGCGGAGCTCGCGCGCCAGATGCTCACGACCAAGCCCACCGCCAACACCGACGCGCTCGAGGCGGACGCGCTCGCGGCGCTGGCGCAGCCGCCGCCGCACGCGGGCACGCGGTTCCGGATCGAGGCGTGCGTCCTCGCGCTGCAGGTGCGCGCGGGGCTCGCCGAGGTCGCGAAGGCGCGCGCGAAGGGCCTGGGCGGGGAGCGGCGGGAACGGTGGGAGGGGTTTGTCGGTCTGCTGTACCGGACGTGCGCGGTGGACGCGGAGAAGGTGCGCGAGGTCGCGGAGGAGGCGAAGGCGGCGCGCCAGGCGGCGCGGGCGGCGGTCTTGAACGTCGGCTTCACGTTCGAGCGCGTGCGGTGGGAGGACGTGTGCGAGCGGGCGGGGCTGGAGCGGTCGAGGGCGCTCGACCGGGTGAAGAAGATGGAGATGAGGAGGAAGATCCAAAGGACGAGAGATCTCATTTCGCAGGTTGGAGAGCACATCGAGAGGCGGTATCTCGATCACCGTGGGCTTGGAGAGCGCGATGCGGATGCTGCGGAGGCGCGGTGGTTGGACGAGCAAGTGTGGAAGAAGATCAATGTTTGGAAGAGCGACTGCGACAACTTCGATGCGGCCTTGGCCGAAAACAGGAAGTACGACCCGGGCTCTAGCATGCACGTGGGAGACGTTATGCGCCTCCTCAGTTTCAGTGAGTAAAATGATACATTGCATGACGCCGTTCTCACAGATACACAGCGGCGAAGGACGCCCCCCTACTTGCGTGTCATAACGGACATGTGTGCGTCGAGAAAGAGGTATGCACAGTGCGAAACAATATCCTGCCGAAGCCGCGCTGACTGAACGGATTTCGAGTGCGTCGGTTCTCCTGACGGACACAGGTGTCCAGAGTGCCGCTCAATAGTAGCATAGCTATCCGCTGGCATTAATGAACGCTTGACATGTAGATAAAATTTCACGTACCACCGCCGCCGCGTAGAGTCCCACACGGTGCGCCGAATGACATACCCGTTTCGAGCGAACTTCGGGATGAATCTAGGCCCCGCGGAAAACCGAGCCACCAAAGTCAGCCGATACGATGATGTGCGCAAGGGTACTGCGAGCCAAGGAACGGGCGGCGGTTCTATGACGAGGCAGAACGAAACACGCTACGAGAAGCCCCTCGTGCTCGACGCATAGCTAACCCGAACTCGGGGTGGCCACCCCAACTACCAGGCCTCGCGCGGACCGACCGTATGGCTGGTCCTAGCAGTAGCATGCCCTTTGGGCTTTCGTTCGGGCGCCAGCATCCGGAGGGACCTTCGACTCCGGACAGCAAGCGTCAGGACAAAGTCCCAATGCTCGCCAGTCGAGTGATAGGGCGTTGCGCAAAATGGTAGCAGCAGACGACAAAGGGTACTCACTGGATCCAGTGCAACGGCGCCCGGGGCACCTATCGAGAGCGACCGAATCTGCAAGCCGTTGGTAAGCGCTATTAACCAGGAGGTACTCCGAACGAACCGAGCGGCCGTAGGCAGCTCGCATGTGGCCTCAAGTCAGGGAGCGATGGTCACCCAGATACGCACCCAGAGCGGGCTGGGGGGGCTGGGATCGCGAAGAACGGGGCGCGGACGAGGAAGGGACTGACAGGCTATCAGTAGGGCACTCGGCACATTCCCCATCGCGCGGTGGGATGGTTTCCGGCTGAGAAGGCAGGCACCGCGACCAACAGCGGGCCGCCAACGGCCGACCAGGGTGACGCGGGGCAGAGGCGACTGGTTTGCATGTCGTTGGGAGCGCTGCTGCGGTGTTCTGGCGGTACAGCGATCTCGGCAGTGGCGACGTTATGCGGGGAGTTTAACGGAGCGCGAGGGGGAAGAAAGGGGATAGAGCAGAAGGAAGAGGACAAGAGATAGATATCGAGCTCGGATTACGACGCCTGCATGATGCACTTGAGACGCCCGTTGTCTTTCGCCCGGCCCGACATGCCGTCCACTTGGTCGCTCACTCATCACGGGAGGATACTACTTAGGCCACCGCAGCCACGATAGATGTCAACGCGCCGGAAGGCGCTCGAGTCAGCGTGCGAGCGAGTGCGCCCACTTTCCGAATTTCGAGCTCTCGAGATTGTGGACCGCGGCGGATGCCGGAGGGAGTATCAATTGCGTGCGGCGTTGACAGATTGACGAAGTGCGATACATACAGATACGCCTGGAGGCTCCCTTCGAAGCGGAAGGTGGTAGCACCAGCACTGAAGGTCGACAAGGATAAAAGGTATGTGGTCGAGCCGTGGCGTACGTTTCGACGCTCCATTAACGCGCGGTACTCGTTCACCTCCCTGACCCATCTGGCATCCTCGTGCAAAGAAAGACTGCCATCAGTATTTCAGCGCTGGCCGCCCCGGCACACCCCGCGCTCGGACGTGGTATGCTTGATACGTAGACGCTGACGCCTGTCCACATACCACCTATGGCGCTTTGTATTTTAGTCCTGCGCATGCCGAGCTGCCCGACATGGCTGTGCGACTTCCAACGTGGTGGACGGAGCAACGCAGGAGCGCCTATTTGGAACGGCGATACAGTTCCTGAGAAGCGAAAGTTCGCATCATCAGTAAGAAAAAGCCAGGCGGTGGACCCACACAGACGCGGCTTATCACTACCCAAGCGCAGAGCAACGGCCAACCCCTCTGAACTCGTCCGTCGCGTCACCGTCTGGCCTCCGCGTACAGATCTCCCAGAGCCCGCCCTCGACAGGCCGCATGCGCTTCATCACGACCTCGCCCACCAAAAAGTCGACCCGCCTCGCGCCCTCCGCGCGTTCCTCGTCCGTTTGGCACCGCGCCTGGCACGCCGCGGCGACTCTCGACCTCGTCTGGTCGTCCATGAGGATGTTGTAGAGGTCCGCCTCGGTGAGCGGTTCGTGGAGCGTGGCGTAGAGCGCCCAGAAGATGTCGAAGAGGGTGAGGAGGCGGTCGTGGACGGGGACGTCGACGTGCCACGGGAGACGCGGGTGGACGAGGCACGCGCAGCGCATGGGCGGGTCGGAGAACGGGAGCGCGAGCCATTGCGCGCCAGCCTGGTGCGATGCGGCGGCGTGAGAGCAGACGGTGTCCAGGGTTTGGCGGAGGTCGAGATACATGGGCGGCACGCTGGCGGGGTAGTAGGCGACGTGGCAGTTGAGGATGTATGCGCTGTCTGCAGGTGAGGGCGTGAGCGGGTGAAAGAGGAACCTGGCCAGCGGTGGAGAAGAGCGCGAGGGTTCGGCGAGGCAGCGTGGGCCGGGGCCTAGGGCACCGATGGAGCCGAAGCCGGCGAGAGTGAAGTTCGTCCGCCAGTCGTCGGAGACGCGCTGGAGACGCGCTCGGAATACGGGGCGGGGAAGGGAACGACTTGCACGCGGGCGAGATCTGGCGCTGTGACTTGGTTGGATGCGCGTCGGAGGACGTCGTCGAGAGACAGCTCGAAGAAATCGGGGAGCTCGTCGCGGTGCTCCCTCCCGGGCGTGGTGGTCACGAAGTCTAACGGGCCAGTTCCAGACATGAGGGAGTCAGCGAGAAGCCAAGTCGCGAATCGCGCACACCGCCGGGCGGGCGAGCATCGGGTATTATTATGTCAGCATTGATCTCCCAAATGCGGGGGCCGCGTCATCCCCGCCGTCGCGTCGTTTCCCCCAGATGTCGATGAACGACCGCAAACAGCCGCAAACACAGCTTACCATCAAAGAAGTCTTTGTCTACCTACTTATCTCTAACACGGCCGATATCCACGTCGGCGTCTAGACCATCCCACGGTCCTATCCACCGGCGCGTATCTGGATATCTGAGAGAACGCTGGTGACGGGTAAGCAGCTTCCACACTCGTCGTCGTCCGAAGAGAGTATTATAAAGGGCATGCTTTCTCTTGTCGGTGAAGCCGACAAGGCGCAAGACCAGCCAAAGACCAGCTTTTTCATGCCCTCACACACCCGATGCCACCTCTCTGCACCGATCCCGCCCTCTGGAATACCGTTCTGGACGACCGTTCCCGTTTCAATATCTTCTTCCTGTCGCCCGCCGTCTCTCCTGCTGCGATCAAGCTCCTCATCGCCCTCAGCGTTTTTGCCGCCGTCTGTTTGGGTACCATCGTTGGTATGAGCTGGAAGATATTTCATCAGATACGTACGTACGCAAGAGCACGCTTCGTGAGTGAAATACGAATTCCACCCTTCAAATCCTCATCATCTCCACCTCGTCACCAGCCATATCCTGCAGTCGCCCCAGAGGCCAGATCGCCATTGCTCAAATCCGCGCCTCGAGCCGACGCGCCCTGGTCCCACCACACGATACGACCTGTGCATAAAGCGGAAGGTGCCAATAGACACCCCGTGGTGCCAACCGAGCCTGGGGGATACACGAAGGTACGAAGCTCTCCGGCCTCGGGTTTCTCGCGTCATCTGATCTTCGTGTTCGCACGCAGGAGGCAAATAAATCTGCCAAGCGCAGAGAGACGGAGCCGCTCCTGGAGTGCAGGTCGCCGCCCGGGGTTCAGTTGGAGCGCACGGCGAAGTACGGCACAATGTAGGCCTCGTCGATTGTACCTCATGTGGTGTCAAGGGTTCGCCGCTCTGGCCAGCGAGGTTCTGGCGCGCTCGATCGGCCACCCCTGGTAGCGTACATCCTGGCTGCGACGTGAGCCGTTCTGCATCCATATCTTATCAGACGTCTCGTCGCATCATTCCGGACACCACAGCACGTCTTCGCCGGTAACATCCAGGTTCGTGCCACCCGTGCTCGCGGGCGTGGGCGACCAGACGAGCGCCGCGCAGCCCTCCGCGCACATCTCCGCCGTCGGCTGCGCGGCGTTCGTCCCGCCCGGCGCTACGCACACGCACGCGCACGCTCCTCGTCCGTCCCGCGTTGCCATTACACGAAGAGAGCACTCACCTGTCGCAGGGCGCCCCGCGTCCTGCGAGAGGACGGTCCAATTGGGGGGCTGGGCCTTCGCCTGCCACTTGTAAGTTTGCGCGTCGCATCAGCCTGCTGCTTCTCCCGGCGAACCAAACGGAAGCGGGGAGAGCAGCAGCGTACGGCCCACAAACATGTTCAGCGCGGCCCTGGGGATGCTGTGCGACGCGGATGCGATGCGGTGGTCGACCCCGATGCGCCGGGGGTGCCCCGACGCGCTCACGACTCCGCTGTCCCGCCTTCCTCGTGCGCCCGGGGCCCGGGGACCAGGCCTGCAGACGCGGGGGGATGCGGGGCCAGAGAGGAGGGCAAAGGAGGAGGACAGGGCCGGACTGGGAGAGCGGCGACGAGCGCACGGGCGCGGAACCATACAGGTTCGTGCGCACCGTGGCGTCGAGCGCGGCGAGTTCTATCGACGGCAGGGCTGGAGCGGAGAAGGTCCGACCACCACGTGGAGTGTCCGCCGACGGCCAGCTCTCGCGCCGCTCGAAGGGCTCTCTTCGGGAGTACGGCTGGGCCAGTGACTACAACTTGTACGAGATGCGTGGCAATAAGCGTCCGTCGACGGACGAAGGAAGGTGTGGAGGAACGCTTTAGGCGAAGGGAGGTCACTAGGCCGAACGACGGGGTCGAGCGCGGCGCCCGCGATGAGATTATGGGTAGTAAGTAGAGGGTTCCGAGTGCCACAAGCGGGGGCAGATCCCCAAGGGTGGACGCCAGAGAGAGGCACGCAACCGCCTTGCGCCTTGGAAAAGGACAGTCGGGGAAGAACAGCTGCCCCATGCTCTCATTACCGGGAGGCCAGGGGACGCGGACACGGAGGGAGGAGCATAAGCGCTGCGCGGTGCGCGACGCGACGCGGCCGCACCCGCCTACCACAGGGCTCCGCCCTTACGGGCGATACTTACAAGGGGAGCAAACACACGCGGCCGCGCGATGGATAAGGAAGGCGATCGGGCGAAGATGCGCCCGCTTTCCGCGGGGCCAGGAATCGTCCCCGCGCGACCAGCCGCCGCCGACACAAGCCTTCTCGCGCCTCGCGCGTACTGGCCGAAACCCGCTGAGTTGTCGCGCGGAGGGCCGCGGCGGCATACCCCGATCCTCTGCGCCTGCGCCGACTGCAAAGACAGTGCGCGCGCGAGGACCGCTCACCCGCTACCCCGCGAGTACTACTTACCCGACGGCACAGACGTGCGCACGACTGAGCCCAGGGCCCGACCCCTGGGAGGAGGAGGGCTCTATTCGGCTCCGTGTCACGCATATATAGTACGTTGCATGTCAGAAAGTCTGTGTCGTATTAGGCGCCGTTTTACGGGCGTGCTTGCGTGCTCGCGTGTAAGACGGGCGGGTGCTCGCGTGTAAGACGGGCGGCTGCGCGCGGTGTTGACGGCTGTTTGTGCAGCAGGCGGGTGAGGGCGCCGAGGGAGGGGCGCGGGCGCTGGCGGGGCGAGAGAGAGAGAGAGAGAGATACATAAGCGGAGGTCCGAGGGACACCGGACGTCGTCGTCGTGCATTCCAGTAGGCTCGAAACCAGCCCATCGGTAACCAACCCGACTTTCAGGCTGATCTGTCCTGGATCAGCGGAGTTTGAAAGTCGGTATGTTTACCGACGGGCTGGTCCAACCTGAAGGCCCATTTGGGGGAAGGCCCAAAAAGGCAATCACGTGAGTTGGACTTGGAGAAATCTCGCGATTCTGCCTCCAGCAGGACAGCGTTGGCGAACCTCTGCGGACGCTCTTCCTCATTCGTCGCTCCTGTGCTGTGTATATGCATGTTCAATAGTCATCTATATCTAAAGATGGATTCTCCTCCTCCGCAAATCCTCCCTTGTCGCTGTCATAGGCCCTAAAATAGTCGTCCGTGCTCCCTGTACTGGAGCCTGTGTCGCTGGAGTCCGACTCGTCTGCATCGTCCGCGTCAGCCTGACTGACACCTGCGGCCGGCGCATCGACCTGCTGGAAGCGTCAGCTTCGTTATCAGCGTCCCAGCATGCTCTCCACTCACTGGCTCGCACGCTGCTGCGCCATTGCCGCGCACGACCGCGTCGGAGCTCTCGGGAACTGTCATGTTCGCCACTGGCGTCCCGCGCAGGCGCTTCTGGAGCTGCGTGAACGATTCGTTGTAGGCCTTGAGAGGACCGTCTTGAAGGGCTCGGAATCCGACATCCATGATGTTCGGGGTTACCGCCTTCGCATCTCCACGAATGCATCGGCCCAGTTGCAGTTCGAATATCCCGTGAGCAGAGATTGAGTCTTGTAGCGACGTGATGTCGCGGTCGAGCTTTGGGGTGCCGTGCTTGTTGCCCAGCCTGCTTCCGAAGCCCGTGTTTATTTGGGTGGCGAGGGCACAGAGAGCTGTGACGCAAGGCGAAACCATAGACAGCCAATCCCACGACGCATTGCTGCCTTGTGCTTTGTAGATGCTCTGATAACTCGGTCAGCACATGCAGTAAGGGCTTAAACAGCGTTGTCTGACCTTGATCCAGAGATTCATGTGCTCTTGGAGTAGGTCGACAGGGACCCATGAGTTCGGCTTTCCCGTCGGATTGACGAGCCAGTTCTTGATCATGATATTGCTGCCAGACAGTGTATGGTCAGATAGGCTCCGGGTAGACGGCGACATGCACAAGACATACCGCAAGGGTGTCGGCCAAAGGGAGGTCAGTGCATGCAAGAGATGCAACACCTCATGCGCGTACTTCGTCCGTCCGCATCCTCGGTAGGCTAGTGCGAGCTGTTTGAGGGCGCGAATGATCCGTCCGGAATAGCCGCCCTTGATCGCGTCTGTGAACTCACGGAAGAGGAGTGCATCGCGGAGGAATAGACACGCGTTCTCGAACACCATGTCCCCGATCTGCAGTGGCTCGGCAAAGGGGTCGAATGCTGGTTCTTCGGACAGCGTGTCCCCACCAGCAACCTCAAAGGTGTCTAACCTCGCCTGGTGAGAGGGAGCTCGCGGCGCAATGGGAGCACGCGCACAGGGAGCTCGCGGCGCAACAGGAGCTCGCAGCACGGGAGCGTGCGGCTCAACAGGAGCGCGCGGAACGGGAGCACATGCAGTGGGAGCACGCGCAGCGTGAACTTGCAGTGCAACAAGAGTACGCGCACATGCTGAACCAAGAAGCCGCACAAGCGCAGTCTCCCAGGGGGCTGGTGATGTCCCCTCCATCCGCTCGCCCTCAGGGCTATGTCATGTCGAGCTCGTATCTTCAGCAACCCCACCCCTCACCTCCGCAGCCCCAGCCCCAGTACGCAGCAGAGCCTCCCCATCCTCACCCCATCTCCACGGTGCTCTCTACAGGTTCGCAAGTGTCCCATCTTCTTCAGGATCACCCTCCTCACGGTACAAACACCACCTCTGCTAGTCAGTCTCGGCAGCCCTATGCGTTGTCTGTCGGGCATGGCATGTATAATAGTCAGTCGGAATATCAATATCAAAGCTAGTTTTATGTATCTATCGCATAATTCTCCCACTAGAGGGCACACACGTCGACGCCACTCTCCTGCTGGAGACAGAATCGCGAGATTTCTCCAAGTCCAACTCACGTGATTGCCTTTTTGGGCCTTCCACCCAAAGCGCCCTCGAGATGGACCAGCCGGTCTGGAGAGGACCACTTGTGGCGCAGCGGAGTCCGAACCGACCGGCTGGTCCCGAGCCTAGCATTCCAGGTCGCCCCCCCGGGGCAGTATATATAGTGGCGCTTGTAACTTCGACTTGCTAGTCCAGCACGGTACCTCTCTCACGCTATGCCGGTTCTGTGCAATGACCCATCTCTCTGGCAACAGGTGCAGCACGTCGTTGTCGACTGTTATCTTCCACAGAACATCTGCGTCCTCAATACACCTGCTGCACTTGCGTCTTCCATCTCCCTCTTCATTTCACCCGCCGTGTTTGCCATCCTTTTGCTCGGTGCCATGGTTGTGATCAACTGGATGGTCTTACGTCATCTACGCACACACGTAAGAAGGCGTGTCGTGAGTACCCATGACTCAGCACACTGAAGTCAACGTTCATCTGGCGCTCAATCCATCTTTGTCAGCCGTACCCACCCCTGGCGCCAGAGGCCAGATCCCCATCGCTCAAATCCGCCCCGACCCCCGACGCGCCGCGGTCGCACCACCCTTCTGGGATAGACCTTGGCCATACGGCCCCTTTCGCTCACAAAGGAGAAGGTCCGAATCGCCATACTGTTGATCCGTCCCAAGCGAGTCAGGGATACATAAAGGTGCGGCTCCCTCAAGGGCTCTGTCCACCACCGCCCTTCAATCTTTGCCTTGCTCGCAGGGGACGTCGACAGTCCTGAGCGTAACAGGACGGAAGGTTGTCATCTGAAGACCCGGGAGGGAGTGCGCGCGGCCGCCCGAGGACTGGTGGGGTTTCGACGGCCTCGCCACTCAGGCAGACGTTATCATCTCCCATCCGTTTTATCGAACTCAGCCTGCCTGTGTGTATACCGGGTTCTCGCCGTCAGTACTATACTGGTTTCCAGGACGCCCGGTTCTTGTTTATCATCGTAGTCATAAATTTTCACCGACGTATTCGTGTCTTGTCGAGCATCTCTACAGCTTTTTCGCCGTGCTCGTCGGAGGTGGGGTGTCATAATAGGGTTCCGGAGATGGCTGTGGTCAGCTGATGGACAGACGGTCCGCGTTGACCCTTCTTTGCCAGGAGGTTTTGGGCGACCGGATTTGCGTATTGCGTCGTCACGTCGCTACACCCGGGGTCGAGCAAGACGGGTGCATCGCGAAGTTGTTTCGAGACCTTGGTCCGTGGACGGACCGCGAACGCAGGCCTGGATGAACAGAACGTCGCTGGCACTGCTTCCGACAGCCGCGCAAACGTCAGGCGTCATCAGGATGGTCGCCGGTTGAAGCATGAGGACTCGTGGAGAATTCCGGGTACTTGGTCGGGTGGTGGTGCTGCGCTGGACCAGGCATCCAGAAGCCGAACGCCAACGTCATTGTAGGCTGAACGTACAGCCAGACCATGTACTACACACTTCCGAGGACGGATGATCGATAAATGGTGAACGACGCTGGCCTCCCCTCCCATCGACGTCCTCTCCAGGCGAGAAGGTCGGACGAAGATTCTGCACGGAGCCATATCAGCGCCCCGCAACCACGACAGCTCGCAGAATAACGCAAGGCCCCTCGTGCGCACAGCACCACACCGCCGGGCGCCCGCAACACACACCGCAGCACTTCCGTGCGCTCGCGGGCACAGAACCGCCTGCGTTTGCAGGCGTGTCCACTCCCAATTTCTCGGGAGTGTGACTCATCCGTGGGATGAGTGGTGGGGCGATCGTCCGCCCCCATAAACCGCACGACGGCTCACGCAGGCAGGCAGCGTGGTCGGCGGGCCTCCGATGCAAGGTCGAGGACGAGGGGGACGACGTGGCGGGGAAGACGACCCCCGCCTGTCGGGCAGCGTGTATGCGGGGCGACCCGGGGCTCGGCTTCACTATCGTATGGTGCGTCGGAGAGGGAGACACCTCCCGCCGACGGCGAGCGGCCGTCGGGTGCGCCGATAGGGCGTGGATCTGGGTCGCGAGCTGGAGGGGCAACTCACCGGCGCGGAATACGGGATGTTGGGAGGGCCCAGGGAGCGGAAACGACCTGTGCGCGGTGTGAGCACAATTAAGCACGTACGGAAGGAAGTGTAAAAGACCGCGGAGCGCCCCTCGTGCTCACGGCACCACTACTTCCTCCACCTCGCACGTCCTACTTCGACGTGCGGAATCAGTACCTGGGGATTTCACCCAGGTAAGTACGTGCACAACGGCGCCGTTGGCACAAAAGCCGCCTCGCTGTGCGAGGCCAGCTGGTCTGCGTCCGTCCCCAGTACGTGGACGGACAGTGTCGCGGGGCAAAGGACGGTGCGTCAAAGAGGGGATCACCTCCTGCCGACGACAAACGCGGAGCGTCGACCGCCGGGTGAGTCGATAGGGCGGCGCAAACGCGGAAGAGAGATAGGGTACATGGAGTACTCGCCTGCGGGTAGAAAGCGGACAGGGAGGCAGGCAGGACAGCAGAATCCAGTGGAGCCAGGTAGAGAGCGATTGCAGAATAGGGAGACGCTCAGGGCGTGGGCGCGGGGTCCGTGCGCAGAGTCGCACGCGGAATATGGTGCCGCGGTGGACCCAGCGTGCGTGCGGGATTTCGTGCGGCCCGAGCAACCGCCGCACTTAGATTCGAGCTATTTCTTCGAGCCGCTCGGTGCGAACAAGTGCCTGGCTAAGCGAGGTCGGTGCCTGAGCAAACGGCGCATACGTCCCACTCGGAGAAATGAGCCAGATCGATATCGTCCTGTGCACTGTGTGCGGGTTACATGGCGTCGATCACAGAGAATCATTCGTCGCTCTGGTACCGGACGTCTAATGACTGCGGAAGCCGTCCAGGGTGCCGTAGTACGCAGGCTTGGGCTGCAAGTTCTAAGGCGCACCGAGGGTCAGAACGACCCACGGGGAAGAAGCGCAGTGAGAGACACTCACGTCGTCCCAAGGGCACCCATCACCTTCCCCAGGGAACGTCCCCGGGATCCACGAGTACTGCGGCCACACATATCATCAGCCTCCTGTTCGCCCATCACGCAACCTAAACGCACCTCGTCCGTGAAGTCCCACACCGTCACGCCGACGCACCTTTCGACGCGCGCGCACGCCCCGACGATCGCCGCAAAGTCGCGCCGTTGCTGCTCCAGCCCTTCCTGCGTGGGTGGAAGCGTGAGGAAACGCACGTCGAGCTCCGTGATCGCGACTCGACGCCGAGCGCGGTGAGTTCCTCGAGGTTCCGCTGCACGTCTTCGGGCACCCTGCCGACGATCTCGTGCGCTTGGACGCCGACGCCGTCGAGAGGGACCCCGGCTTTCTTGAGCGCGCGGACGAGGCTCTTCATCGAGGTTGACTTGGGTCCTGGATGGGGGACGGGGGTATGAGGACGAGACTGACGCAGGATTGAAATAAAACGCACCTGTGCCGGTGATGTTGTACTCGTTGATGTATAGCTTCGTGTGCGGGTCGGCGGCGCGGGCAGCATGGAGCGCGATCGGGATGTAGGAAGTGTTGAGCACCTGGTAAAACTGCGTTTCGCGCCAGGTTCCGTCGTCGTTGAAGGGCTCGTTGATAACATCCCAGCTGTCTGTTCCGGCGATCAGGGGGACAGTGGGGCGACAAAGTAAATTGGACCTACAGCTGCAGGGCGCGATGAGCGCTGAATGACGCGAAGAAGAGCGTGAAACGACTCACATATCACCCGCCCAATGATGCACGATGTTGAAGCAGTGCTCTCTGACGACCTCCGCAAGCTCAGGAGCCGTCCAGTTGGTGTCGGTCACCCAGTCCGGGATGCGCTGGTACCACACGCAGTTGTGTCCTGCACCGCGACACGCGCACAGGGGGAAGGACATCCAGATTGGTGACTATATGCGCAGGAAAATGCGACCAAGGACGTACCGCGCATCAGCTTTCCGCTCTGCTTCGCCAGATTCACGATCTGGTCCCCCTGCTCGAACGTGAACACCCCGCGCTCCGGCTCCGTCGAGTTCTGCGCGATCGAGGGTGTGTGAGCGCGATAGAAGCATACCAGAAGACAGGAAGACGGACCCATTTCATGGCTTTGGCGGACGTGAGCTGCCCGAAATTCGCGAAGCTGTCGAGGAGCGCGAAGTACGCGGTGTCGTTCAGCTCGTCGTTGTTCGTCGCCGTCCCGAAATAGAGCTTCCCATTGGACCGAGCCGCGAGGTTCGGTCCTTGGGGGACGGAGGACACGTCGGGATGGGATGAAGGAAGTGAAAACGCGAGCAGGGGGGGCAAGAGGAGCGCAAGCGGTAAGATCCAGTGCGGCCTAAGCATGATTTGGAAGGTGATATTGCGCCGCGCCAACGTCCAGAGAGCGCGTTAAGTACACATCCGGAGCCTGTGTGGAGAGCCGCGTCGGGAAGCGGTGTTTTTTTGAACGGCACGGCAGGAGGTCATGCTCTGGACGCGGTTACGGCAGGTCGAGGCCACAAGGTGTGTCTTCTACCATTGTCGGACTGCTTGCGCGTCCGCAGAGCGCCGGGGAAGTAGAGGATGTATTGGACTCGGCGAACTTCGAGGGCAGCTGACAGGAGGGGGCGGGCCGCGCGAGCAAGGTGGTGCTGATGCTGGTGCTGGAGAGCGCTGGAAAGCGTGGTCGTGGTCGGGATCGAAGAGCAGGCCGTCCCTTCGCGGGAGACGCGCTCCGTCGCCCGGATTTTGCCGAATCCGGGCGCCCGTGGCTTGGGACTCGACCTCCGCTGGTTCAATGACTGGATCGACTACCTCATCAACGTTGATATTGAACGCCGGCACTGTGCGTCTCCGACCCCCCCCCCCCTCTTCCGCCGTTGCGCTAATGCGCGCGACTCTTGAAACGGCGCGGACGACAATGTTCGAACCGGACAGTAACGTTGTCGCCCCACATACGAGGTCGCGTAGCAGTGCCGAGCTTCCTGCAACGACAATGATTATACACGTCAGCTCGAGAGTGGGCAGCGTCAGGGCCGCCTACGGACTCCCTACCCGTCGTGCTGCATGCGCAACATCTTCGTGCGTCTAAGTTCATGGTTGCAGTAGGGCCAACGGAACGAACTTATCGGTCAATAAACTTGGAGAACTTTTACAAAGCCACTATTCTGATGGATCAAGATGCGTTCTGCGCATTAAGCATCCTTTCGAACAGATGATCCTCCCCGATCTCCCACAAGTCCTTCTCCGCCCTCAGCTCCCGCCTCAACGTCGCCTCCGAGAACCCCTCATTCATCGACACCCACTCACCCTTCTCCTGTCTCAGCGCACGGACCGCTTCAACCACCCAATCCTGGCAGTCCCACTCCCAATCGTGCAGCACGACGCGCTGCGCCGCGAGCATCGCGTGCAGCCGCTCCATCGCGTCCTCCGCGACGTATCCGAGGGGGTACCCTCCGCAGATCGCGGCGACCTTGAGCACGTTGGGCACGCGGATGGCCTCGAAGTGGAACGACTCCATGTTGCCGGACATCTGGAAGACGTCGGCCTCGCGGGTGCGCGGACCGATGGCGACGAGCGCCCAGTGCTCGGTGCGGCGGGCGTGGCCGTCGAGGTGCTGCTGGAGGACGAGGAGGAGGCGGCGGCCGTCGGGGATGTTGGTGGACATGACGTGAGGATGGTGACGGAGATGGGTGTACGGTGGTTGGGTCGCAGATGAGGTGCGTTCGAACGAGATCGATGAGCCGTGCTGACCCTTTTATGTGCAGGGGACACACAATGGGAGTGACCGCGGCGCCTATGTTACTCCGGACCGCTCCTTAGAAGCTCGGTCGGTGTGTGCAGTCCTTTGTTCGCTTCGTGTGGCGGAGATGTGGAACTTATATGTTCCGTGTTCTCTTTCAGGTCCCTTGTGCCATGCTTTCATCGGCCATTGTGCCCTTCATATGGGCTCAACCACCCTCGCAGCGTGGCGTGTCTCATACGCGAATCCTAGAGCGTCGCTATAAAACGCAAGCTGGGAGGCCCGAGGACCCCTCACCCGGCTTCTGAGTTGACTCCTGCTGTTGCTATTATATCATCCCTCCCGACCCTCTCTGTCTCCCGCATCTCGCCGAATCTTGTCTTCACCATGGCCCAGCCCCTCAGAATCAAGCTCGCCATCGCCCAGTACGAAGTCCCCCCGGCCCAGAAGACCCCGGGGATAAGAACCCCAAGCACTGGGCCCTCGCCGCCGTCGTCCCAGGCGCGGACCCGGCGCAGATCTTCGAGATGAAAGGCGACTCTACCCGCTTCGTGTACCACACCCGCCTCGCCTCGATGATCGCGTGCAGGTGGTTGAGCGGCGGGTACGAGATTGGGGAGGTGCTCGGGCCCGCGCGACTGGACAGCACGAATATGGGCTGGCTGAACGAGTTCCTGCCGGAGGTCGAGATCGTACACACGACGAACGGGTCGTGGAACTGCCAGGACTGGGTGCTCGACGCGGTGAGGGCGTTGCGTGAGGCGTCGGAACGGGTTAGAATCACGGCGAGCTTGGAGGTTGGGAAGATTAAAGAGGGTTTGGAGAGTGAGTTTCAGTGGTGGGACCTCGGGGGTGATAATTACTTCGAAAGGCTGTTCAACGCGCGTTAGGGCGCATGTCTTGTGACGTGTTCATAAGAAAGGTGGCTTTGACCAGAATTATTGACCTTTTGCTGTCTGAATGTGTCTGATTGGATGAAAGTCATATCGTGTCGCCGGAGTTTCCACAGGTCACCACCTAGATACTCGCATAGCTTGCACGATGCAGTGCCGTTCAACGCAGACCATTCCGGCATCAGTGTGTACCTCCTGGGGCATGCCCGGGATACAATTAGGTACGACATGTTCTAATTGAGGTTGAGTTAGTTGACTTCAAACATACACGCGTGATGAACAAGCGATAATGCCCACGTCTCTCACTTTTCAACCTCTCGTAGACACGTATATGTAAGCCAATACAGCACCAACACGTGTAGAATATTCACCCCACCGCCGTCTTCGTCCGCATCTCCCACACAGCAGTGCATGCCCCTCTCATACTCCCACATATAATTTACGGCCCCCATAAACTCCCACTGATCCGTCGCGCATGAAGACGGAGGCAACTGGGGAATTGTCATAGTATGATGAAAACGTACACGACGGGACCTCGGGAGTCACTCCGCCGCTGTCTTCGTGTGTATCTCCCACACGCGCGCATCTAGCCTTTCCAGCCGGGTCAACACCCACGCGCTCCTCAGGAAGTCCACGCGACAGATCGCCTTGCGCTGCTCAGGGCACGCCTGTCGCCGCGTGCGCAGCGCCTCGAGCACCTGCTCGCGCACCGCGTCCGGGACGCACGCGGCGTAGTAGTCTTCCTCCTCGACTTCGGTGAGCATGTACGCGCGCAGTGCGGCGGCAAGCATGCGCAGGCTGACGCCCACATCGGCATCCTGTTCGAACACCGTGAGCTCCCACGGGAGGTCGCGGTGGAACAGCTGCACTGAGGGGGCGTGTGTCTCGACGGGGAACGAGGACGAGAGGAGGTGGTAGACGGGGGACCGGGTGCGGACGTGCGCGGGGTGGAAGACGAGCTCGGAGCTGGCTGAGTCCGGGAAGCGCAGGTCGAGGTCAAGCCACGTCCCGGGCACGGTAAAGGGGGAGGAGTGGAGGCCGGCATCACCCACTTTACTAGGCGGGGAGAGCGCTGTCATACGATATTAAGCGACCTCACGGGCCTCTGCGGGGCTTAAGGTCATTGCACTCACCGACGGCATCGGCACCAGCTTCACGGGAACGATCCACCCACGAAGGCTGGAAGTCCGGTCTCCACCCTAGTGGCAAAGACTTGCTGTTCTCCCCGTTGTCAGCGCTTGCGTCTGTATGTGACTCGAGGGAGTGGTATTGATGTACTGCGTTTTTGAGAGGGGAGAGATCGTTTGTCTCCTCGGAGTTTCGCCGGAGGCGCCATGAGAACGTCGAACAAGGGGTGTGGTACGTTGCAATTGTGCTGCCAGGCGAAGGAGTAGGTGGCCGACGGCGGCGGAGAAGAAGAAAAGGAGGACTGAGAAAGCCAGGTATCTTGCGTTCGACTGAGTTGGGGCCCATGGAAGTGGTAGAGTGAGAAGTTAAGTAGAAGGAACGGGATGCGCTGGAGCGTATTTGGCCGAGGCTGTGTACGAGCACAGGGTATGACGTAAATGTATGCTGGACGCCAGAGTCTGCTCCGGACCAGCGAAGTTTCCCCAGTGATCATCTCGAAAGTAACACTGGTACAAGGCATTCCAGCCATGGGGCCAACATTCCGTGACATGGACGTCCACAGGCGCCCGTTCTTGTTCTTCGCCTTGTTCTCACCTATCCGCGCTCCGTCGGTCGTTGACGACCATGTCAGTGCAGACAAGAGAACCACGTCACCAAAGAATAAGGGCCAGAGAGTGCACATGGAAGCACACACCCGTCTTTGACGACCTCAGGTGGGCGAATGGATCTGTCGGACTTTGCTGCACAAATCTGGCGATCGTTCCTAGAATCATCGAGCCGAGGGTTGTACTCGTTTCACACTCTTGGATACCGCGTTGAACGTCGTGAGTTTTTCGCAGTGGAAGATTTGGAAAGAATTTGAGCTTCTAGACGGCACTTGGCGCACTCGGGATGGCAGGCATCTGGAAGGGAGTCAACGTAATGCAGATTTCGTACTCATATATCAGAAGCGTCAAGGGAAGCAAATCTAGAGCAAGGGAAGTGGGAAGCATATGCAGCAGCAGAAAGTTGCGCGGTCGGGCGCTCTACTCGTTCGTAGGCGCGGCGCGGATCCGCCGTGAAGGACGCTTGGGCTTGGATGGACCAGGTTCTAACGACATCACGCGTGGCCCAGTGACGGGCTCCTGCGTCTGTATGACTGGGGTAAGCGGGAGTCTCCAACAGAACGCGAAGACGTACCGGGACCAAGCGGCCGCCCGCCGGACGCTTGCCGATGACGAGCCCGTTCCTGACGACAATGTCGAACGCGTCGCGTTCATGACGCTCCGCCATCTCCCGCGCCAGCGCCCGTTCGTCTATCGAAAGGACAATGGTCAGCGTGCGCGCGCAGCGAAAGGAGGAGGACGGACCAGTGACGGGCGACCCCGCGAACTCGAACACCCGCAGGAGCCCCTCGTTGTGCGCCGCGACCACCAGCCGGCCCGTGGTCTCGTCCCACGCGAACGCGTCCGCCCGCGTCCCCACGAGCTCCTCGCCCTCCTCAGGCGCGCCAAAGTCGACCGACGGCAGCCACATGCATTGCCGCGGGTCTGGCGGATTCGGCTCCGGGACGTACGGCGCGTCCGGGTCCGCGGGCGGTGGCAGCGCCCCGTGCGTGACCACGCCGTCGAGCGCGACGACGGGAAGCGTGAACGCGCAGTCAACCACCGCGTGCACCGACGTGATCTTGGGCGCGATCGAGACGTCGTCGCGATCGGAGCCTACGACGAGCGGCTTGTGCGACGCCGGGAGCAGCTGTGTGCGCGCGTGCAGGACCGGCCAGTCGAACGAGTGCAGCACACACCGATCGAGATCGTACGTCCACGTCTTGAACTCGAGGCCGTGGTCGGTCGTGAAGGCCTGCTGGCGCGCTTCGAACATGATCCGGATGATCTGGTGCGTGCGCTCGAGGCGCGCGAACATCACGAGCGAACGAGGTGGCTTCGGGACCGTCGCTTGAGGCGCCCAGAGCAAGGGGTCGGGGATCGTCGCCGGCGTGTCTTGCAAGTGTCCCAGCGTGGCAAGCTCAGGAGAGGGGAGATGCGGCAGGTACGGAGCTCGCTGCGACTGCGGCTGGTTGGGGGCCGGTGGCCGTGGTTCCGGAGGAGCGGTCGCGTTCGAATTGGGCCGAGGTGCTGGCGGCGGTGCGAGGTACTCCTCTGCGTTCGGCATGTGCGGCAACTCGGGCATATAGAACTTGTCGATCGACGCTTCCGGTTTGACCTTGCAGACCGCGTCGCTGATACGCTCGAGCGTGTACGGAGCCTTGCCAGACGGAAGCGCGGGAAACTTTTCGAACGTGTAGATCGGCGGCTTGCCGTGCTCACGCGATCGGGCTTCGCGGACGACGAGCACGACGTGTTCGTCTGGAATCAGGCGTATGGCGCGTATGGCGTGCTCCTGGGTGCGGTGCGTGCATGAGCCAGCGACAACAGACGGATCTAGAGGGCCGGCAGCTTACGCGACGGACCAGCGAGCCAACACTGCATGCCAGGGTGGCAACTGCACCCTTGTTCAGGCATTTGAACGCGACGTGCTTCGGACCCTTCGCGACGGCCAGGTACGGACCGCCCCACATGTCCGCCAACGTCGGACAGGAGAGTTGCTTGCGCGAAGCGAGAGAGACGAGGTTTTGGAACGGCTTGGGCAGCGTGTCGGCAAAGTCGCGGTATTGCTGGGTGTCCGTCGGGTACGGGATGTCGGCGAGCTGTTGCAGGTTCTTGAGAGGCGCGAAGACGACGTTGCACTGGTAGCGGAACTCGATCGACTCGATTTTGTGCTCGGTGCTGTACACGTCAGGCGGCTTGATGCGGCCCTTTTCGCTGTGGCGTCGTCAGCGTTGTGGGCGAGAAAACAGGAGCAGACGTACGCGTCGTGCCTCATTCGTCGCGAGTGGTAGTCGCGTGAGATGAACGCGACCACGAGAGACGGCTCGCCCATGACCGTCATGTACTTTGCCGTGAGGTCGTAGGCCTTGTTGCCTGTAGGGAACGCCGTGAGCGCACGCGGCGGATTGTTCTCGATGGAGTAGACTACGACCGAGTGTTCCGAGTGCGACGGGGTGTGCACGGACGCGACGAGGTGCTGGCTGCCGGGAAGGAGGACCATCGAAGAGACGGGATGCGAGCATCGGAAGTCCCACACACTGTGCGGAGTTGGCGCTGCTCGGTCCCAGTTGCGGTCGAGGGAGACGGCGCGGACGAGCAGGCGCTCGACCTCGTCGCCGCTCAGATGCGGGAGACGATTTCGACCGGGGATGGGCGCCATCGGAGGCACGCGGAGGTCCTTGTGGCGAGCGAGCATGCGCTTCCAGACGATGGGTTGGTGCGTGAGGTCTCGAAAGAGACGGTTGACCTGCAAGGCGATACAGTGACTCGTACTGAGTGCACGAGACGACGACGACGCACCATGCGAAGGCGTATTATATCGATCACGTCGAGGTAATCGAAAACGACGTCGACAAGAACATCGTTTGGGAGCGAGTCGAGAGAGATTCTGCGGGTTGGCCGGATGAACCGGTGGAAGATGTCAAAGGGCCGATGGATGATGAACGAGGGCATGGTCGGGCAGCCAGGACACCGCGAGGGAGGCGGGTCGCAGGTGGCTGAGAAGGGGAAAGGGGCAAGCAGCGAGCATGGCGCCGAGGGTATAAGTGGGATGCATTGCACTAGAGGACGTGGAGGAGAAAACAAGGACGCGCCTCGAACGTGACCGCGTCGGGCTCCAGCGCCGCCGCTTTCGCTCGCCGTCGGAGTTACCGTCGCGATCAAACCGTTCGCACGGCTACAGCCACTTTGAAGCCAGTCGCGGCCGCCTTTGTTTTCTGCCTTCTCCTCCTCCCATCCCCCGCCACGACGAAGCCGCCTCGGTGAGTGTCCCTCGCGACCTTGTTTTCCTCTGCGTTCCTCCGCTCGCATCGAAGCCCTATCGATCCAACCCTCGGGCGTCCATCTGGTCGTCTGGGGGCGAGAGGCTGGCCCCTCTCGTGACCGTCGTCGAGCAGGTCGCTGTCCACGGATCCCCTCGACATCGAGGACGCGACCACCAGTGACAGCCGTTAGCGATGTGCCGCTCATTGGGCGGTGTGTTGCGCGGATCCCTCTGTCCATTCGAGAATACCCGAGTCTAACGTTTGACTTGGGCTCCTTCGGAGATGGCGCTGCTCAGGCGGCGCCATAAACCGGCCATGAAAGCGTCGCTGACGCACCCGGCGATCCTCGATCGCACGGATGTTCCCTCCCACCGGGTCCATGGACCTCGAGACAACGTAGAGACGTCTACGAAAGCGCTGACCTGCGCTGCGCCATGTGCGCTGGAACGACCGCCTTGCTGCGAGTCATCGCGGTGCCACACCGCTCATGCCGGTCGACGGCCCCGTCCGTCGCACCCCCCACCCTGGTCAAAGCACCGGGAGGGCTGGGATCGTCTGCGCCTAGCCAGTGCGGATTTCAAAACTCGACGACACTCTGGCGTTGGGCCCGAGGGGCTTTCTGCGAGCATTCATCGTCTTACGTCTGTGATCTTTCGATGTAGCTGCATGCTGATGTCCTCTTGCTTTCTAGGTATACGACGTCTTCCCGCGTAGCTACAAATAGTCGTAGTCGTTACAATCTATTCTTGCTGTGGCACAGAACTTGTGGAGTGCAGGTGTCGATTCGTGAGTATCATCGTTGCGATCCAACTTCATGCGGTCAGTGTCTCCGTCCAAGAGGAGTGTTCAGACGTCGAACGGAGCAAGCTGGTAGATGGTGCGCCACCCTCATCCTCATGCGCGACCGCCACCCGCCACCCGTCCTTCTGCGCGACAGCGGGTGCGAACCCGTTACAACACGGTCACCGATGGGCGATACTGGTGAGTTTCCTCCCCACCTTCCACGCGTGCGCAGAGCGTCCCGTCCGCGCGGGTCGCGTATGTGGCAGGTCTCACTGCCATCCGAACTTTCATAGCGCTTTCCCCACCAACACCTCTCAAATCCCTGCCAATTTACGGCATCCATGGTATCTGTAAGTCGAAACCGCCTAAACGTCTACTTGACCCGCTTTCCTTTTATTGACTCACCCGGCGGCTTCCAAGGATGGTTGTGCAATGCCGCCTCGCCCCACTCGTCGCTGCTTGCCCGCTCATCGTCGTGGTGCAAAGACTGCGAGGAAGGCCCCTCCCTCGCTGCTCGACGCCGTCACCGTCACTCTCCCTGTCACCGTCACTGTCACAGAGCACTGGTATATCGCGACTTCCTCCTCCTCCTCCTCCTCCTCCTCCTCCTCCTCCTCCTCGGTCACACCCTCAACGGTGCACGCAGAACGACTATCGGAACCTTCGCCGTCTCCCACCGTCGTCGCACCCACCACGCTTGAAAATGATTGCCCTATGGGTGCAGTCGCGACAGCAACCTCATCCGCCGAACAGGGTGCCTCCTCCTCCTCCTCTACGGAAATCAAATCCGGAATTGTCGGCGGCTGCGTGGCATCGCTGTTGCTCCTCATCCTCGTTGGGATCGTTTTCCTCCTCCTGAGACGCCGGGCCAAGGGGATGTGCGCCATGGTCGAGACGAGACGTCGTTGCTGCGAAGCTGCTGGAATCGGCGCCATCGAAACCGGTAAGCCTTGTTCTTTCTTCGTGGACATCTTCCAACACCCATCACCAGATACATCAGCAAAGACCTCGCTGGAAGACCCGGCTGATGTCGATCCGAGCGGCATCGGGTCGATGGTCAGCCCGTACCTGCTCCACGCATCTTCTACCGATGCCTACTACTCCTTCCCACCGTCGTCTACTCCCTCGCCGAGCAAGCACACACGGCCATCGTTCACTGAGCACTCCCACGAGTCGGACTCGGGCGACTCAGACCGTCACCTCGTCCCTCTGCCCCGCTTCGACGACGTCGACGGTCTTCCCTCGTACTCCTCCATCAGCTTCAACCCTCGGCCCGCCGATCCCCACTGCGACGCACATACTCAAGACCGGGCCGAGAGCACGGAGACAGGGCACGAGCACGAGCACGAGGTCGCACCCCGGCTCCCGCGCGTCCGTCGCAGCGCGCTGATGCGCGGGAGCATGCAGGCTCCACGCGGCCCTCGCCCGTCGCCCAGCGCCCGCTCGCGACCGCGTTCGGAAGCGCCCTCGGTCGCGATCCCAGGGATGGGCATCCTTCGCAATGCGGCCTGCCCGACGCCAGCCACGGACGCCAAGGGCAAGCAGCGGGAGACCACCACGGTGCGCTCCAGCAGATGCGTCACGTTCCAACTCGAGCGCGATGGGGGGCGGGACGGCGCGATGGCCTTGCCTTCGCCGCGCTATGATCAGGCTGTGGCCGCGTACCCGACCGAGAGTCTGCGTACTCTGACGCGGCCAGTGCGGATTCCGGTACGGGATACAGGACGGGGTCTGACGCTCGTGATCCCGTCGTCGTTGACGTCAGTACTAGGGAAAGGCAAGGCACCGCGAGGTCGGGCCTGAGCATACGTCGGCGCGAGGCTTGGATCTCATCACGCTCTTTGTATCCCCCGCATCGCACAATACACTACACCTCCCGTTTTGACTGTCATATTCTTCATGATGGCGAGCATGGAAAGCCCCAAAGGAGGCCGGTCCACCTCCGGTCGTCATTTCTTCGTTATCTCTACAATACATCTGCCCCCTCATGAGTGGGTGCATGCGCTGTCGATCGCGCGCACGTTGAAGGGCGACCCAACGATGAGTACTTGAGTGGTGGCTCCCCGGGCAGTGAAGATCATTGAGTGCGCTTTTGTGCGCTCGGACCTCTTGCAAGGCTTGTGATAGGTCAGACGTGGATCAAGTGTTCTGGCCGTGGGCCTCGAGAGCCATCGAAATTCTCTTCTTGCATTTCTTTCTTAGTTCAACGGGAAATCGCACCACACTACCAGCCGAGGTCTTTTATCGATTGAGGTGTGAGTGTCGTGTCACATGCGGATAACGGTGAGACAACGCGTAAGGGTGACATAACGCGCGCGTCTTGATCAGACCCTCGAGGAGTCGACGATCACCTCGCGGACAAGTACGACAAAGAGGGCAAGCTGTCTCCCGCGCAGGACGAGGAGCGCGGCCGCTGCGCACTGGTCCAGTGGCTCTTCTTCCAGGCATCCGGCCAAGGGTGAGCTGTACACGTGACACCTCGTTTGTCTGACAATGTTCCGCGCGCAGCCCCTGCTTTGGCCAGCTGGGCTTGTTCCAGCGTCTGCACGCGGAGAAGCTCCACGCGCTACGAGAACGAGGTCATCCGGGTGTTCTGCGTGCTCGAGAACGTGCTGTCGAAGCAGGAGTGGCTGCTTGGCGACAAGGGCACGGTCGCGGACATCTCGTTCGTGATCTGGAACATGGGCCCCGTTTCGCGCGGCACGCTCTCTAACGTCGGGGGACTGGACGTGCCGGCGAAGGTCCCAGCGTCCTACGCGTAAGTGTTGTTCGCTCTGGAGCTGGTTGGGGCGTGTCGGAGTTGACACATTGTTTCCAGATGGCACCAGAAGTTGATTGCGCGCGACGCGGTGAAGAAGATGCTCGCGCAGCAAGTTGTGCCCGATGCGCCTCCGGCATTGTCGAGCGGAGTCCGGCGGAATCAGGTGCACCGAAAGGAACGCCAACGGTTTCAGTTCAGCGCGTCTGCATTTATTTCAACGTCGTCATACTTTTGCGATGATGTTCGGATGAGCTCACGAAATGCCTCGCTGCCACCAGGTACCCGCGGGAGTGGAGCATTGGTTTTACAACACGGAGAAGAGAAGATCTGCGACTCGGCAACCTCAGTTTGTTCTGCTTGCTCGCGGCCTTGGTTGGCTCCGTATCGTCTGCACTGAGCTCATGCAGATATCCAATAATCATCATCACAACTTTGTGCTGCTTGTCAAATTTAGAAGTTACCGTCACCTCTACCTCCTAAAGCATGCCTGAAATATTCGAGAGCGCAGTCGGGGGTGTGTGAGCAGCCCATCGGCGGCCAGCCGCAAAGTTTGTCTAGGTCAAGAAAGGTTCGCGCACCTTACTGTACATGCATATAGTTGAAGTGCTCAAGCAGCTCTATGTTTAGAGCACTCCGGTGACGCGCGGAAGGAAGGCGGAGAACAGCTGCTTATGAGATGATGAGAACGTCTGCGATGTGGAGAAGGTCCGATCGGACACTGCGCCCAGCGCCGACGAACCTGATTCCGGGATCTCGAGTGAACAGAGTGCTAAACGTGCGGTGACTCAATGACGGCCAACGCCTACTGACCCTGACAACACGTACTGGGGGACCCGCACGCGCACAATACCGGGATTCTAAATCGAAGGTCGTGATTGTACGTTCCACACATCTCTGCTTGGCAAAGGAGGCGGATACGGATTGTACCTGACCCAAAGGTATATAATACAGCCAGCGACTCTAAATATGCGCTCTTTTCGATTCTCAAATTCCAAGTGATACATGCTGGGTGCTCCCGGGTGCGTCTCCTTCGCGCATCACGATCACCACGGAATCGGGTAGCCGGTATACCCCATGAACGTGCCCGAGTCCTTCTGCGTCAGCCCAGCGACAGTCTTGAGGATGTTCTCCACGCTGTCCGCGGCCGTGATGAACGCGTTCGGACCGCCGATGTCTACGCTCGTTGTCAGCACCACGGACATCCGGGGACGAGCGCACGGGCGCACCTGTCTTGACGTAGTTCGGGCATATTGAGACGACCACCAGGTCCGAACGGCCCATCGCCTGCTTCCGAGTCTGCAGAACTAGTTAGCACGACGAGACGGAGGGACAGGTCACACTCACGACCATGTTCAGCCCCGCCTTGGACACAGCGTAGGCCGCATTGCGCTCCGTGACGGCGACGTAGTCTGTGCCCATGCTCCCGAGCGTGCTCGAAATGTTCACGACCGTCTTCTTCGCCCCACGCGCGACAAGGTCGACGAACTGCTGCGTGACGCGGAGCGCGCCAAGCGTGTTTACCTCGAAGCACCGCTGGACGAGGTCGATGTCCGTATCGTACGCCGTCTCGGTCTGCGGCCACGGGTTCTGTACGTCGATCAAAGTCACGGTCAGCACACGCACACGCGGAGGACGCAGTGAAATCACGGACAATGCCGGCGTTGTTGATCAGGTAGTCGATGCCCTGCTCGGGCCCCAGGAGAGCGGCGATGGTCTTGGCGGCGGCAGCGGCACTCGTCGTGCTTGTGACGTCGAGGGGGACGACGTGGAGCTTGTTGGAGGCATCAGCAGCGAGGGCGCTGAGCGTCGTGGACTTGGCCGGGTCCCGGCAGGTGGCAATGACGAGGGTGTCTGAACGCTGGATGAGCTGCTTGGTGAACTCCAAGCCGATCCCGCGATTGCACCTGCACGCCGTCACTGTCAGCTCCGCGTGCCCAGGGTAGGTGTGAGAGGGGGGGTACGTGCCCGGTGATGAGCCAAACCTGTTGTGGAGAAGACGAAGTCATAACCAGAGAGAGTGGGGGTAGAGCGGCCTCCTTGAGGGCTTTGTATACTCGCCATCGCGAAGCAAGATGCGCGACGCCGGACGTACGTAAGTGGCGCGGTTGTAAGATTCTCGAACACCGGCATCCCGTAGGAATCCCCCCGGGCAGAAGGCCGCAACTTTGACTGGCAACCGAATCTGATGCTGCCGCTGTGATTCGGTGCTGCTGCTGTGATTCGGCATTGATAGTTCGGAACTTGAGTCCCTCTCGTGTCTCAAACCTGGCCGTCAAACGGGAGGTGTAGTGTATTGTGCGATGCGGGGGATACAAAGAGCGTGATGAGATCCAAGCCTCGCGCCGACGTATGCTCAGGCCCGACCTCGCGGTGCCTTGCCTTTCCCTAGTACTGACGTCAACGACGACGGGATCACGAGCGTCAGACCCCGTCCTGTATCCCGTACCGGAATCCGCACTGGCCGCGTCAGAGTACGCAGACTCTCGGTCGGGTACGCGGCCACAGCCTGATCATAGCGCGGCGAAGGCAAGGCCATCGCGCCGTCCCGCCCCCATCGCGCTCGAGTTGGAACGTGACGCATCTGCTGGAGCGCACCGTGGTGGTCTCCCGCTGCTTGCCCTTGGCGTCCGTGGCTGGCGTCGGGCAGGCCGCATTGCGAAGGATGCCCATCCCTGGGATCGCGACCGAGGGCGCTTCCGAACGCGGTCGCGAGCGGGCGCTGGGCGACGGGCGAGGGCCGCGTGGAGCCTGCATGCTCCCGCGCATCAGCGCGCTGCGACGGACGCGCGGGAGCCGGGGTGCGACCTCGTGCTCGTGCTCGTGCCCTGTCTCCGTGCTCTCGGCCCGGTCTTGAGTATGTGCGTCGCAGTGGGGATCGGCGGGCCGAGGGTTGAAGCTGATGGAGGAGTACGAGGGAAGACCGTCGACGTCGTCGAAGCGGGGCAGAGGGACGAGGTGACGGTCTGAGTCGCCCGAGTCCGACTCGTGGGAGTGCTCAGTGAACGATGGCCGTGTGTGCTTGCTCGGCGAGGGAGTAGACGACGGTGGGAAGGAGTAGTAGGCATCGGTAGAAGATGCGTGGAGCAGGTACGGGCTGACCATCGACCCGATGCCGCTCGGATCGACATCAGCCGGGTCTTCCAGCGAGGTCTTTGCTGATGTATCTGGTGATGGGTGTTGGAAGATGTCCACGAAGAAAGAACAAGGCTTACCGGTTTCGATGGCGCCGATTCCAGCAGCTTCGCAGCAACGACGTCTCGTCTCGACCATGGCGCACATCCCCTTGGCCCGGCGTCTCAGGAGGAGGAAAACGATCCCAACGAGGATGAGGAGCAACAGCGATGCCACGCAGCCGCCGACAATTCCGGATTTGATTTCCGTAGAGGAGGAGGAGGAGGCACCCTGTTCGGCGGATGAGGTTGCTGTCGCGACTGCACCCATAGGGCAATCATTTTCAAGCGTGGTGGGTGCGACGACGGTGGGAGACGGCGAAGGTTCCGATAGTCGTTCTGCGTGCACCGTTGAGGGTGTGACCGAGGAGGAGGAGGAGGAGGAGGAGGAGGAGGAGGAGGAGGAAGTCGCGATATACCAGTGCTCTGTGACAGTGACGGTGACAGGGAGAGTGACGGTGACGGCGTCGAGCAGCGAGGGAGGGGCCTTCCTCGCAGTCTTTGCACCACGACGATGAGCGGGCAAGCAGCGACGAGTGGGGCGAGGCGGCATTGCACAACCATCCTTGGAAGCCGCCGGGTGAGTCAATAAAAGGAAAGCGGGTCAAGTAGACGTTTAGGCGGTTTCGACTTACAGATACCATGGATGCCGTAAATTGGCAGGGATTTGAGAGGTGTTGGTGGGGAAAGCGCTATGAAAGTTCGGATGGCAGTGAGACCTGCCACATACGCGACCCGCGCGGACGGGACGCTCTGCGCACGCGTGGAAGGTGGGGAGGAAACTCACCAGTATCGCCCATCGGTGACCGTGTTGTAACGGGTTCGCACCCGCTGTCGCGCAGAAGGACGGGTGGCGGGTGGCGGTCGCGCATGAGGATGAGGGTGGCGCACCATCTACCAGCTTGCTCCGTTCGACGTCTGAACACTCCTCTTGGACGGAGACACTGACCGCATGAAGTTGGATCGCAACGATGATACTCACGAATCGACACCTGCACTCCACAAGTTCTGTGCCACAGCAAGAATAGATTGTAACGACTACGACTATTTGTAGCTACGCGGGAAGACGTCGTATACCTAGAAAGCAAGAGGACATCAGCATGCAGCTACATCGAAAGATCACAGACGTAAGACGATGAATGCTCGCAGAAAGCCCCTCGGGCCCAACGCCAGAGTGTCGTCGAGTTTTGAAATCCGCACTGGCTAGGCGCAGACGATCCCAGCCCTCCCGGTGCTTTGACCAGGGTGGGGGGTGCGACGGACGGGGCCGTCGACCGGCATGAGCGGTGTGGCACCGCGATGACTCGCAGCAAGGCGGTCGTTCCAGCGCACATGGCGCAGCGCAGGTCAGCGCTTTCGTAGACGTCTCTACGTTGTCTCGAGGTCCATGGACCCGGTGGGAGGGAACATCCGTGCGATCGAGGATCGCCGGGTGCGTCAGCGACGCTTTCATGGCCGGTTTATGGCGCCGCCTGAGCAGCGCCATCTCCGAAGGAGCCCAAGTCAAACGTTAGACTCGGGTATTCTCGAATGGACAGAGGGATCCGCGCAACACACCGCCCAATGAGCGGCACATCGCTAACGGCTGTCACTGGTGGTCGCGTCCTCGATGTCGAGGGGATCCGTGGACAGCGACCTGCTCGACGACGGTCACGAGAGGGGCCAGCCTCTCGCCCCCAGACGACCAGATGGACGCCCGAGGGTTGGATCGATAGGGCTTCGATGCGAGCGGAGGAACGCAGAGGAAAACAAGGTCGCGAGGGACACTCACCGAGGCGGCTTCGTCGTGGCGGGGGATGGGAGGAGGAGAAGGCAGAAAACAAAGGCGGCCGCGACTGGCTTCAAAGTGGCTGTAGCCGTGCGAACGGTTTGATCGCGACGGTAACTCCGACGGCGAGCGAAAGCGGCGGCGCTGGAGCCCGACGCGGTCACGTTCGAGGCGCGTCCTTGTTTTCTCCTCCACGTCCTCTAGTGCAATGCATCCCACTTATACCCTCGGCGCCATGCTCGCTGCTTGCCCCTTTCCCCTTCTCAGCCACCTGCGACCCGCCTCCCTCGCGGTGTCCTGGCTGCCCGACCATGCCCTCGTTCATCATCCATCGGCCCTTTGACATCTTCCACCGGTTCATCCGGCCAACCCGCAGAATCTCTCTCGACTCGCTCCCAAACGATGTTCTTGTCGACGTCGTTTTCGATTACCTCGACGTGATCGATATAATACGCCTTCGCATGGTGCGTCGTCGTCGTCTCGTGCACTCAGTACGAGTCACTGTATCGCCTTGCAGGTCAACCGTCTCTTTCGAGACCTCACGCACCAACCCATCGTCTGGAAGCGCATGCTCGCTCGCCACAAGGACCTCCGCGTGCCTCCGATGGCGCCCATCCCCGGTCGAAATCGTCTCCCGCATCTGAGCGGCGACGAGGTCGAGCGCCTGCTCGTCCGCGCCGTCTCCCTCGACCGCAACTGGGACCGAGCAGCGCCAACTCCGCACAGTGTGTGGGACTTCCGATGCTCGCATCCCGTCTCTTCGATGGTCCTCCTTCCCGGCAGCCAGCACCTCGTCGCGTCCGTGCACACCCCGTCGCACTCGGAACACTCGGTCGTAGTCTACTCCATCGAGAACAATCCGCCGCGTGCGCTCACGGCGTTCCCTACAGGCAACAAGGCCTACGACCTCACGGCAAAGTACATGACGGTCATGGGCGAGCCGTCTCTCGTGGTCGCGTTCATCTCACGCGACTACCACTCGCGACGAATGAGGCACGACGCGTACGTCTGCTCCTGTTTTCTCGCCCACAACGCTGACGACGCCACAGCGAAAAGGGCCGCATCAAGCCGCCTGACGTGTACAGCACCGAGCACAAAATCGAGTCGATCGAGTTCCGCTACCAGTGCAACGTCGTCTTCGCGCCTCTCAAGAACCTGCAACAGCTCGCCGACATCCCGTACCCGACGGACACCCAGCAATACCGCGACTTTGCCGACACGCTGCCCAAGCCGTTCCAAAACCTCGTCTCTCTCGCTTCGCGCAAGCAACTCTCCTGTCCGACGTTGGCGGACATGTGGGGCGGTCCGTACCTGGCCGTCGCGAAGGGTCCGAAGCACGTCGCGTTCAAATGCCTGAACAAGGGTGCAGTTGCCACCCTGGCATGCAGTGTTGGCTCGCTGGTCCGTCGCGTAAGCTGCCGGCCCTCTAGATCCGTCTGTTGTCGCTGGCTCATGCACGCACCGCACCCAGGAGCACGCCATACGCGCCATACGCCTGATTCCAGACGAACACGTCGTGCTCGTCGTCCGCGAAGCCCGATCGCGTGAGCACGGCAAGCCGCCGATCTACACGTTCGAAAAGTTTCCCGCGCTTCCGTCTGGCAAGGCTCCGTACACGCTCGAGCGTATCAGCGACGCGGTCTGCAAGGTCAAACCGGAAGCGTCGATCGACAAGTTCTATATGCCCGAGTTGCCGCACATGCCGAACGCAGAGGAGTACCTCGCACCGCCGCCAGCACCTCGGCCCAATTCGAACGCGACCGCTCCTCCGGAACCACGGCCACCGGCCCCCAACCAGCCGCAGTCGCAGCGAGCTCCGTACCTGCCGCATCTCCCCTCTCCTGAGCTTGCCACGCTGGGACACTTGCAAGACACGCCGGCGACGATCCCCGACCCCTTGCTCTGGGCGCCTCAAGCGACGGTCCCGAAGCCACCTCGTTCGCTCGTGATGTTCGCGCGCCTCGAGCGCACGCACCAGATCATCCGGATCATGTTCGAAGCGCGCCAGCAGGCCTTCACGACCGACCACGGCCTCGAGTTCAAGACGTGGACGTACGATCTCGATCGGTGTGTGCTGCACTCGTTCGACTGGCCGGTCCTGCACGCGCGCACACAGCTGCTCCCGGCGTCGCACAAGCCGCTCGTCGTAGGCTCCGATCGCGACGACGTCTCGATCGCGCCCAAGATCACGTCGGTGCACGCGGTGGTTGACTGCGCGTTCACGCTTCCCGTCGTCGCGCTCGACGGCGTGGTCACGCACGGGGCGCTGCCACCGCCCGCGGACCCGGACGCGCCGTACGTCCCGGAGCCGAATCCGCCAGACCCGCGGCAATGCATGTGGCTGCCGTCGGTCGACTTTGGCGCGCCTGAGGAGGGCGAGGAGCTCGTGGGGACGCGGGCGGACGCGTTCGCGTGGGACGAGACCACGGGCCGGCTGGTGGTCGCGGCGCACAACGAGGGGCTCCTGCGGGTGTTCGAGTTCGCGGGGTCGCCCGTCACTGGTCCGTCCTCCTCCTTTCGCTGCGCGCGCACGCTGACCATTGTCCTTTCGATAGACGAACGGGCGCTGGCGCGGGAGATGGCGGAGCGTCATGAACGCGACGCGTTCGACATTGTCGTCAGGAACGGGCTCGTCATCGGCAAGCGTCCGGCGGGCGGCCGCTTGGTCCCGGTACGTCTTCGCGTTCTGTTGGAGACTCCCGCTTACCCCAGTCATACAGACGCAGGAGCCCGTCACTGGGCCACGCGTGATGTCGTTAGAACCTGGTCCATCCAAGCCCAAGCGTCCTTCACGGCGGATCCGCGCCGCGCCTACGAACGAGTAGAGCGCCCGACCGCGCAACTTTCTGCTGCTGCATATGCTTCCCACTTCCCTTGCTCTAGATCTGCTTCCCTTGACGCTTCTGATGTATGAATACGAAATCCGCACTACGTTGACTCCCTTCCAGCCCCCAGACTCCCAGAGTGCTCTCAGTCCTTGCACCGTGCGGATCCTGCAACGATCGGAAAGCCACTCAAGCAAGTGACGCGTGCAGCAAGGACGAAGAACACCAGATAACGGTGGCCTAGCAACTCCAGAACGATCCGGACGAATTCGTTGTGGAGGGTTGGCGTGCGCGTCACGGCATATAATCTGCTGTCTTCTGAATTTCTGGCTTCGCAATTAATTACATGGTCGTTGACGACGCAGGAAGCTTCGATAGATGAAGAAAGCTGCTGCGAAGAACAAGCCCTGGCGCCTCTGGGCGACCTGGGCATTATGATGTCGCGGTGCGCAGCGCGACGCTCAAGGCGATCTCCACGTCGCGAACGATCAACCAGCGTGGTAATGGAGCCAATAGAACTCACGACGGTCGCCAGCTGGGCACAGGGTGGGCGGCAGGCGAGAGCACCGACGACATGGTATGGAATGACACGGCCAGGAGGGCGGGATGTTTGTGTGTACATCCCAACTCACCCCGTTAACCCGACGTTCAAGTGCCGCATTTCGTAACTTATAGAGTGATGACGACCCTCCACGCGGCACACGTGAGCATGTAGCATCGACGCGCGACGACCCAGCGGTGCCAGCTGCGGGCCGCTTGCTCGGTGCAGGAGGACTTGCGTCGGTCGTGGACGGTCGCGCGGTGCGGGTCTGTGAGGCTTTGCGACTGTCGTGCAGACAGTGAGTGCGTTACAACGAGCCAGCGGCTAGAGCGATATCAGTTCCCGCTTGTACATGCGCGTTCTTTAAGAAGTGCACTCTAACCTAAGGCCCACGGGTCGTCTTGACGTTCACCCCGCGCGGCGACCACGCCCGCCCTTCCATCCCACGCTCCTTTGTCGTCAATCTATCCCCCGCCGCTCAGCCAGGCGAAACCAAAGCTCGTGAGTATTTCCCTGTATAATAGGTGTATCCTGATCGTCGCTCATTCGGTCCTTACCGTGCACGCGAAGAGGAAGTACGACGCGGAGTACTATCTCTTGATCTTCGTATCCGGTCTCGAGTTTTAACCATCGCTGGCCGTATGCGCGTTCCCTAGCATCAACGCGCTGCACCCCAGAACCTTGCTTCGCGGCTCGCTCCTGCTCCTCACCTGGCCAGCTCGCGCGACGTCCCGATTCTTGTGGGGCCGAATGACTGGGTTGTTCACTCGTTAGACGGACATTTGGGCTGGCCCATCGGTTTCTTCATACGATTCCATTGTGCGTCATCTCTAGATCTGTCCCACCGACATGTGTAGCATCAGTATTTCCTTGGTGTGTCGACAAGTGGTCATGGGGACATTGACGTATACGGTGGCGACAACGCTTGAGCGCGAATTCCAGGAAGCACTTATTTTGGCCACCGCATACCTGCGTTTCTTAGTCATTCGAGTCTGGAACGCATTCCGCCTGTCCTGCGTGCTAGGTTAGATAGTATGTGCCTACAAAATCAAGATGTTGCTGGTCAAACGTGATTAGCAGCAGATTATAGACGACAAACGAAGTGAAGGGCGTACATATATCCCACGGCTTGCGTATCTGACTTCTCCAGTGGATCTTTCGCCGAGCATAGGTATTGTTTAAGGGCTGGAAATGTTGAGGTTGAAATTGATACACGCGAAGCGCGGGTTTTATCGTCGACTTCACCGAATAGAGGGTGAGATTATACATATTGGAATACCATACTACGAGCGCTGCGCCCGCTGGCCACGCGGATGGTGGTGACGAAACAGACTCGGACGTCCCAACGCGCGAGATCGACCCGGCCGGCGTTCGGCGTGGAGTTCGCACAGCACTAGAGGACGGTGTGAGGATGTAGGATGCGGAGCTAAAATTACATCTGTGCGCACGTATGTCTAGATACAGTCGGCGAGTCCAGGGGAGAAGGAGGAGGGGATGGTGGGTGCGGAAGCGCTGAAGTGAGAAGGGCGAAAGAGAGAAAACGCCACTGGATGTTCGGTCGTTTAATTACGTAATCTATCGAAAAAGCGCGGGCGAAATCTGATGCCGAGCGCTCCGGCCTGCCGTCAGAGCGCCGAGTGCGGTCGGGGCTCAGTGGGTCGACGACGAATGCCTAATGCGAGAAAGAGAGAAGCGTTCGGCATATGTAACTAGCCAGTGTCTTTGAATGCCAAGGGCGGATGCATCTCGGGGGTCAGTAGAAAAGTGGGATTTGAATGGGACCCCGAATAGGCGGCTTAGCGGCGGAGGGTAAGTCCGAAAGCCGGCGCTCTGGGGCGGGAAAAGGGACTGGGCGGGGCCGGCGTTCTCACCCTCCGCCTCGACGAGCAAGCACTCGTTCCCAACCACGGCACCGGCGGCCACGACCTCCTCGCCTTTCCTCTCCTGCCTATGGCCACCTCTACGTTCCACGTTCCCCGCACCTCATCCCCCGCCGCTTTTGACGACCTCGCACGGCCCTCCCACGTCTCGTCGTCGCCGTCCTCGCGTTCTGCTCATCACCACCAGCTGTCCTCCTCCCATAAATCCTCCCTATATGCGCCTCAACGCGATGACGAGGGAATAAACCCCCTCCATACCATCGCTCATGGCGCCCAGCCAGACATCCACATTCTCAAGGTCACCAACAACACCGTCCAGCTTGCCCATGGCCCTGTCCCTGAGAGCATGCTCGACAGGGCCGGCGCTGCCCTAACACACGCTGTCTCTGGCTTTCACCACAACCGCCGCGAAGAAAGCATGGACTCGAACGTGGGCCCGCCACCGCCGTCACCGCCGTCGAGCGTGGAGCATGAGGAACTGCCCCCGGTCCATAAGCACGTCCCCTCCGCCTCCTTCTCCTCCGACCGCTCTGCGTCCCGCCCGGTCACCTTCGAAGAGCCTTTTGAACGCACCACTTCCGTCTCTCGCGACCCCGCACGACTCCCCCGCCTTGGCTCAACCTCCCTTCGCCATCGGTCGTCTGCGGAAACCAAGTCGTCCCAGCGCACGACCTCGTACGGCCAGTCGGAAAGCACCATCGATGGCACCTTCGCCGACGAGCCACCCTCACTGTCTCCTGCTCCGGCAACCACGTCGAAGACACAAACGTCCCGTACAGGTCACATATCCGTAGAGGGCTACCTCCAGCCCCCAGTACCGCACAAGCCCTCTCGACGATATACCATCGGCGCCGGAGCCGGCTCGAGCTCCACTCAGCAGTCGCCGCCGCGCGTCGCCCGGCATTTGACGATGACCGGCTCCCAGCCGACGACATTGGAAGACCCGGGTGGGCTCGCGGACGACATCCAGCAGCAGGCGGAGCAGATCCGCCGTCAGCGCGTCAAACGTGCCAAGGAGCAACAAGAGGCTGAGCGCGTTCTCACTCGCCAAGGCACTACGCTATCCCGCGCAGATGACAGGCCGCTGGTGGGGAACCTCATCGGCGAGGATCATGTCAACTATGTGTTGATGTACAACATGCTCACTGGTATCCGGATAGCTGTAAGCGTTCCTTCGCCGCGTGTATGTGTCCGCAGCTGACGACGGTTCCCAGGTTTCACGCTGTCAAGCAAAAATCCGGAGACCACTCACCGACGAAGACTACACAGCCCGACATAAATATTCGTTTGATATGTGAGTCTCTGTTTGTGTGTCTGGGGTGCATTGACTAACCTGCGGATAGTGTCGGTAACGAACTTACGCCCTCCGCCAAGTACGACTTCAAGTTCAAGGACTACGCCCCTTGGGTCTTCCGCGAGTTGCGCGAAGACTACTTCCACCTCGACCCCGCCGACTACCTGCTGTCGCTGACCGCGAAGTATATCCTCTCCGAGCTCGGTTCGCCGGGCAAGTCTGGTTCGTTCTTCTACTTCTCGCGCGACTACCGGTTCATCATCAAGACGATTCACCACAACGAGCACAAGTTTCTTCGGCGAATCCTGAAGCAGTACTACGAACACGTGAAGACGAACCCGCATACCCTACTATCACGATTCTACGGTCTCCATCGTGTAAAGCTCCCGCACGGGCGCAAGATCCACTTCGTGATCATGAACAACCTCTTCCCGGCGCACAAGGACGTCCACGAGACATACGACCTCAAGGGGTCCACTGTTGGGCGCGAGTATTCGGAGGAGAAGGCGGCGCAGAACCCCCGCGCGGTGCTGAAGGACCTCAACTGGATCAACCGCGGCAAGACGCTTGAGCTCGGGCCAGAGAAACGTGCGCTCCTTACGGAACAGCTGCGTCGGGACTCGGAGCTGCTGAAGACCATCGGAGTCATGGACTATTCGCTGCTCATCGGTATCCACAACATGCGTCGCGGGAACAGGGATAACGTGCGGCGCAATACTCTCCGCGTCTTCTCGGTGAGTCTTCCGTTTGCGCGCTTTCCCCGTCAGTGCTGTGCGTCGTCCTAACGGCCGGTCGCACCCGCAGCCCGACATGCCCCTCATCTCTCGTAAGAAGACGGTGAGCAAGGGTCCGCAGTCGCCCGAGGCGATCGCGATGCGCAGGATCATGCGCGAGGCGGATCCACAGTCTCTCGGATCGGGGTCATCACACTACCCGAGGAGGATACGGGAGAGCGCCAGCACTTCATTTTCTACCAGGACGAGGGTGGATTGCGCGCGACGGACGAGGGGAACGGTGACATGGACACGATTTACTACCTCGGCGTCATCGACATCCTCACACCCTACAACACTTTGAAGAAACTCGAGCACTTGTGGAAAGGGATGCAGGCTGATCGGGTATGTTGTCTTGCTTTTTCATGCGTTTGTTTGCCTCGATGCTGACGCGCCTATGTTCGCGCGTGCAGCACAAGATCAGCCCCGTACCTGCCGTCGAGTACGCCGGCCGATTCTTCTCATTCATGAAAGCGATCATGCGTGGTGGCGAAGGCGGCACACGGTTCAAGGCCGAGTAAGTGGCCGCCTCATTTCTACTTTCTTTCCGTATTCCCCATCTTTCACATTCATCTTGTTTATTTCCCTTGGCACGGTGTCCCCGCGCGTTGTTTAGACTATTTACTATTCGACAGGCCGGGGTCTGGCTTGTGTTGCTGCGCGTAACGGACGCTCCCCCGTCCTCCTCTGACGCCCCGGCCTGGCGCCATATCCTATTCTCGGAGAATACCCTACGTACTCCCCTTCAATTCCACCCCCCCCGCCGCCTTCCGCTCCTCCCCATCCCTCCCTGGCCCGACACTGCCATGGACGACACCCTCCCCGATCCGGCTTACATACCGCGGCACGACGCCCGCGTCCACGCTCCTTATTTGATTCGATTACAATCCCGGCGGGCCTGCGTATGAGGCCGCGCGCCCACGCTCGTTATGCGTCTCGTTCTCCCTTCCCATCTCTCGGTTGTGATCGATCCCACCGTGTCTGCTGCTCTCGCTCCCCTGGACCTTCTCCGACTCGCGCATTCGCATCAATCCGTCACATTTTATACAGTATATAATGTACTACGTGTGCTGATATACAGGCGTGGAATACAATTCATCTGCAAATACAAAGCGGGCGCAACGAGGAGGGCCAGCCAGCCGGTCGAAGGCGCAGTCGGTAAGAGTGTAGTGGCAAAGGCAAACAATGCGGGACGGAACGGGCGGTGTCACTCGTCGTCTTCGTCGTCCTCGACGTGTTTTGCGGGCGCTTTCCGCGTCCGTTGAGCTGTGTTTGCGACGTTAAACCCATGCACAACGCGAGAGACAGGGAAAGGACGGGACACGCACTTGCTCGTTGCTGCCGCTTCTTGGCGGTCCGCTTTCGCTTCGCGACGCCCTTTTCGAAGTCATGATCTTCTGCGCCCTGTCGCCGGCACTCGAGCAGCGCCTGGGAGAGAACATATGACGGTCAGCGGGCGGAGGGGGGCTGACGCCGGGACGCTCACCGTCTCGAACTCGTTGAGCTCCGTGTCGGGCTTGTTCGCGGATTTGTTCTGCCGTGCCTGCAAGGGAGACGCGGTCAGCAAGGCGGGCCCGGGTACGGGTATGGGTGTGGGAGCAGACCTTGGCGATGATCTCTTGGAAGAGCTGGTAAACGGTCTCCTCGTGGACCTTGTCTCGGTAGAATTGGAGGTTCTCGGTGAGCTTCTTGACGGACCGCTCGGACTTATACTGGAGCAAGGAGAGGCAGTATGCAATGTCGCGCCAATGCCGGGGCTCCTCTGCGGTCCGGAAGCGCTGGCAAAGCTTGTCGACGATATTCTCGGCTTGCTTCTCCTGTGGACGAGGGTGGTCAGCCGGGCGTGGTGAAGGGCAAGGAGGAACGGACCTTCTGGACGAAGGTGAAGATGTACTTCATAGTGCTCTGGAATGCCTCTTCGTCGATCGAGCGCTCGCCTACGGACAGATAACTTATCACTGCATGACACGTGTTAGTTCAAGTGTGCATGGCGGCGACACGGGGAGCACGTACCGTCCGGGAGGTTGTTGTAGATCGCGTTGTCCTTCGACGACAGCTCCTGGAAGAAGAGCTTTGCGAGGTCCGATATCCGCTCGTCCTCGTCCCCGACGCACTTGGCCATCTCACCCATCTGGCCCTTGACCTTGACCATCCCGTTCAGGATCAGGTGCGTGAGCACCATGAGTGTGTTCTTCTTGACGACTATGTCCCCGTCGCGGAGGCCCTTGTAGAGCTCGTCGTTGCTTTCGTCGATTATGCTGCTGAACGCGACGGCGACGTCGCCGAGCGCGATGACGATGTTGCTCCTGATCCCGGGGTCGCGCGATTTCTCGAGCACGCGAAAGAGCAGCCGGTGATGCTCCTCGCAAAATTGAGAGCTGACGCAGAGGAACTTGCTGAGAGAGAGCGTCGCCGTCGCACGGATGAGCTGGTTCTGGACGCATGTCAACATTAAACCGGTGAAAACGAAAAAAAAAAAAGGTCGAGACTTGCCTTGTAGATCTGAGGGTTGCCGGCGATGTGCACGAGCATTGGCCCGAACTTCGCCAGCAGCGATTTCGGCCCGTGGAGAAGCTCGTGCTCGCGCATGCCTGCGACGCGCTCGCCGATCTCGTCCTCTGCGTTTCCAGCGACCTGGTCGAGCTCCTCCTGCTCCTTCGACTTCTCCGCTGCACCTCCGATTTTCTCGGCTGAACGCAGAGTCAGCACTGGTGTACCGGAGGCACCGCAAGGCCGTACCTAGCTCGCGCTCATGCTTCTGTCGCTTCCATTCGCGTTCGACAAGCTCGAGGAAGACGATCTGCTTGATCGCGACATGACCGACGATGAACAAGAGCTGGCTGAGCTCGAACGTGTCCGCCGTATCCCCGCCCTCTGACTGCGAGGCCTTGTCGGGATCTCCGCCCTCGTCTTCGTCCATCGCGTCAGGGTTCCCGTTCTGCGATTGCGACGGGGCCAGTCCGCCGCCCTTCTTCGAGAACACGCGGCGAGTGAAATTCTTGATGAGCTTGGTGCAGAAGAGGTCCGGCCTCTCGGCGAGGTTATAGACGGTGTTGATCGCCTGCTCTGCCATCGGGAACCACTCCTTCGAGCGGCAGGGGCGCTCCATGGCCACCTGCAGCTTGGAGAACAGAGGGTTCTCCATGGGGTACCGCAGAGTCTTATCGAGAAGGGAGCCTGCATTGTGCTATGTCAGACGGTGCGGCCGGGAAAGATTTCGGCGGGGAACGAACCTTTCACCTTCTTCGCGCTGCCGTTTAGGCGCTGTAGAGCGACACATGTGTATCGAGCTAGAGTCAAGTCGTTCTGCGCCGGCGTAAGCAAGACATGGAGCGATGGATATGTGCGTGCCCACCTTCCCCTTATCGCCCAAGCCGACGTTCATGAGAATCTCTACGTGGTTGGCGACGACTTCTCGCTTGGCGAGTGCGAGCATGCTGAGCACGATGACCGCACCACGCCGTTGTCGCGTGGGAAGTCCCTTCGATGAACCTGACAGCTTGTGAGAATATGGGCAGAGGATGAAATACAGTCGACGCACTGTACACTTGCCAGAGCTTCGCCACGACGTCACCGTGTATGCGGTCCTCCTCCATCAGTTGGCGCATCATCTCTTCGAGACTTGTGAGCTCGGCGAGCGTAGCATGATAAGTCAACCTAGCACACCGCGCCGACTCAGCGATCGGCAAAAGTGGATGTGCAACAGAAACGTACTCGATCATGTTCTTCGCGATGCGGTTGACCTGCTGTTTCGGTTCCAGGTTGAGTACTGGCTCGAAGAACATGCTGCGATAGCACTCGAGTAGCCGCAGTTTGATCCCTTTGACCTCCTTCCCGTCCTCTGCCGTCGAGTTGTTGTCCTTGTGCCAGATCAGATGCAGCATCCGCTTGAGTCCTGCGTCCGCCGCTTCGATCTTGTACTCGTACGCCACACGCGAGAACTCCATGGCTTCCAGCACCTCTAACTTGTTTGTCGACGCCAAGAGCCGTTGCACGGCCTTTATGGCCTCGCCAAGTTCGCGGATGAACTGGAGCGCATCGAGACAGAACTTCTTCTTCAGCTTCTGCTCGAGATGCTGGTCTTGATTAATTTGTCCGAGCGCCGCGGCCTCGTTCGTGAGGGCCTCCATATTGAGCTGGGACTTGCGTGGTTTCTTCTTCTTGCCGCGTTTCTTTGGTCGAGGGGCGTCGTCGTCGGAAGCATCGGCCATGGGCACGTCGTCGTCGTCGTCGTCGTCGTCGTCGTCGCCGCCTTCCTCGCCATCCACGTCCATGTCGTCGTCAGACTTGCGTTTCCTGAAAATTTGTGAATGGGCACGCTAATACTGATCAATAGAGCGTAAACGTACGACTTGCGACGTTTCTTTGAGCCGGTAGCTTCTTCCGCGTCCTCCGCGTCGTCGTCGTCGTCCTCTTCTTCGTCTTCGTCGTCGTCCTCGCTCCCTTCTCCCTCTTCCCGCTCAACCGCCTTCCCGAACTCACCCTCCATCTTGGCAAGCATATCCGTTGCCTCCTGGTACTGCGCCTGCCACTCGTTCTCGCTCAAAAAGCCCCCATAGATCCCATATGGGTGCGTGAGGATGAGCCGGATGAGCAGGCTCATCGCGCTCTTGCGCACGCTGCTCGTCTTGTCCTCGAGCGCCTCGACGGCAGCCTTGGTCATGAGCAGCCGCTGCTGCGGGAACTTGGCCGCGCAGTCACAGAGGCGGGCAAGGACGGCGAAGACCTTGACGCGCACGTACGAAGACAAGTCGAGGACGCGCTCGAGCAGGAGCTCGTACAGGCCGGTGAGCTGCTTGAGCATTTGCGCCTTGCGCTCCGCGTCCTCGCCTTCCATCTCCGCAGCGAGCTCGCGGATGATGTGCCCGATGACCTCGACGAGAGCCATGCGCATCGGGTAGGACTGGTGGGGGCGACGGGGGTGTCAGCGAACGTGAGCGCGCGCAGGGGAGAGGGGCACGGACCTCGGAGTCGAGCTGCTTGATGAGCAGACTGAGCTGCTTGAGGACCTGGCGCGGGGCGATCTCGGCAAAGCGGATGAGGAAACGGGAGAAGACGCGGGGGCCCTTGTTGTCCTGTGCGCTGAAGCTCTTGCCGGAGACCTCGCGGAGGAACTCGTCGCCGAGCTGGTAGTGGTCGAAGTGCTGGGCAAGTGCGTTGAGACACTCGGCAATGATGTCGGGGAGATGTTCATAGTACTGCAGGGACTGCATGAGTCCGACTTGAGCGGCAAGCCCGTGGCCCTGGTGCTTGACGGCGAGGCAGATGGCGCGGACGACGCCGTCGTTGATTGGTTTGGACTTCATGTATTGCTCGGATTCGAGGACGTGGTATATTGGGCGGACGACGCAGCTGGGAAACAATCGTGAGCGGCGCGTTCGGACGGAAAGAGGAGAGTCGAGGAGCGGGCGAACTCCAGTGTTCATATATGCTCCAAAGACAAGGTGGAAGCGAGACTCGGGTCTCCACACTTTGACAGGCAACTGAAGAACAAGAGATACAGCGGCCCTCCACGAAAAGCACTACACTATCTCTTGCGGTACCGGGTGTCTTGGAGTGCCCATATGTGCTCCAGACGGGAAACTAAGACTCACCTTATAAAGTTCTCTCGCTCCGCGGTTGTCTGCCAGATCCGTTGTGTCTTCAAGCGGAGGAGGCGCTGGATGAGGGTGAGCATCGCGGGTATCTGGTCCATCCATGACCACTCCTCGTTCGTTTTCGTGCGCGTACTTCTCGCCGCCGTAGCTTTGCCGCCGCGACCACGCCTCGGTTTGGGAGCCGGAGCTGGGGCGTCGTCCTCGCCTGAAGACTTGACCTTCTCGGTGGCTAGAACAAACCACTGCAAGAGGAAGGCGAACATCTCGAGGCACTTCCTGTGATGGGCGAGCATGTCGGAGTCGTCTTGGTCAACGTTGCGGTGTGCGGCCTCGATCTGGGCAGCGTAGGCGGAGGAGATGGAGTCGAGGATCTTGGTCATATGAATTCCCTGGAGATGAGATGCATGCTTGAGGAGGGAGCGGTAGGCGTCGAAGATGCGTGGGTCGGCGATGTTGTCTGGAGAGTCGGCGAGGGCGTCGACAGCGGTGTGGAGGACATCTGCGATAGTGGAGGAGTCTTCGGAGATGTCGACCTCATTGGGGATGGAGTAGGCGGAGACGTCTTCGGAAAGCGACGCGAGTTCCTCTTGGATGTCGAAGTCCATGCTCGCTATGTGAGGGCGGCCCAAAAGGGCGGCGGGCAGAGGCTGAGAGGAATGAGCTGAGTGCCGGAGGCGAAGACGGAGGGCAAGCGGGCGCGTGACAGGCGTTGAACGCGTCGCGTCTGTCACACCGCGTTCGTGACATCCGCGCGCCAAGTTGGGACGACTCGGTCACGATCGAGCCGCTGACGGGGTGGCTGCCATCCTCTATTCCGTCGCGTCGACCGTCCCCTCCTGCTCCCGCCTCGGCCGCGCCAACCCTCTCTGGGTATCTCTGCATCTACAAGCTCACGGCGCGACGCAATGCTTCCCCGTACAGCCCTTTCTCGTGCTGTGCGGACTCCACGAACACCCGCAAGTTTTGCTCGAACTCGCGCTTTGGCTACCCAGCCACCACCGCCGTCATCAGAGCCCCCTTCATCGGCAGACAAACGCACAGAAAGGCGTAGCACCCCGGAGGTTGCGTCACCGCCAGAAACCTGGCTCACCCGTTATATTCGCAACAACCCCGGCGCGCAGGAGGTCTTTTTCCGCGTCCTCGGCCTCATGGGCTACGGCAGCGCAAAACAGTACGCGGGCAGGAGAGCGTTCATCATGTACCGCGACCTCTGCATTCCGCGCGCAGACGACGAGCAGGCATTTTGGAAAGATGGTAAGCCCCTCTCCTCTCTCGCGCTTCCCCAGGGTCGCTGTATGCGCCTCGCTGCCACCTACCTTACGCGCCCATCCGCTCACACGTCCGCACAGAGATGAGCTTCCCACCGACATTCCAGTCCTGGTTCACGATCACGAACCTTCACGTCTGGCTGCTCACCGTTCGCCTCCGCGCCCTCCCACCTCCGCATGGCACCCACTACGTCCAGGCACTCATCGACCACTTCTTCCTCGACATCGAGGACCGCATCCGCGCCGTCCTCCAGCCCTTCGAGCCTGGCAGGCTCACCCCCGCCAATCTCGGCTTCCCATACACATCGCGCACCGACTTCTACACTGTCGCCAACGCCGACAAGATCTCCCCCTTCGCCCGTGGTCGCGCACCAGAGGGCCTCGTCACCCGGCAGATGAAGATCTTCAAAGAGCAGTGGGCAGGCATGGGCATGTCCTTCGACCTTGGCCTCGTCCGCTCCGACCCCGAGCTCGCCGCCGCCGTCTGGCGCAATATGCTGGGCGCGCGTGGCGCGCGCGGGATCGTCTACCCCGAGGACGGGTCCGAGCAGCCGTACTTCCGCCGGACGGTCAACCTCGCGGGTGGCGAGATGGAAAAGTTCGACCGGGTGGAGAAGGCGGGGCTCGCGGAGGAAGAGGCGCGCGACGACGGTTCGGGCGTGCACGACTTTGCACCCGCGGACGCGTACAAGTACGTCGCCTACCCGGAGCTGATGGAGACGATGGTCGAGTACATGCGCGCCGAGGTCGACCGGCTCGCGAAGATCCCCGACCATGTGTTCATCGGCGCTGGCAAGATTGGGACGGAGAGCGACGGCATGGACGAGATGGTGTTTGGAGCGATCCGACGGGTTGGGTCGTCCTCATCGGCACCACCATTGGTGTAGCTGGCACGGTGCTTGTAGTATGGTATGCTCGTATAATCACACCCTCTATTCGACGAAGTCAACGAAGCAACACGCTTTGAGTGCATCGAAGTTTCCCTGCTTTCAATAGGGGAGGTCAGACTACTCGATTCGCGGGGATTCAAAAATGGATTCATACGGCTGATTCGTCACGGTTTTATCCCTGTGAATCGCCCGCGAATCGCCCTGTGAATCGGCTTCAACTTTGACCGCTCCTGTCCCTGCCGCAGGTCTGAGCAGATGATTCCGTCGCTCCTGCAGGTCTCATTTGTATTATATAATCGTGTATCCGTAGCGCCAGAAATCTCATGAGCCACCGCTTCCTACTCGTTCCTAGTACCGTCCCTCTGCGACCATGGCTCGTCGAACAAACCGCCGCAAGCTCGCTGAAGACATCCTGAGAGCTTTTCTCAAACACACCCGCCTTGCAGCTGTCAGGCGTGCACAAGCGGCCGCTCAATTCCGCGCGGCTTTTCTACCTCTTGAAGTGCAAAGTTCTCCAAGACTACGACAATCATCATCCCTCTCATCCCTCTCGTCCCTCTCGTCCCTCTCGTCCCTCTCGTCCATTTCGTCTTCCACATCACAGGCCGGCTCAACCGCTCACACGTCCGGGTCGTCCGGCACCGACACCGATCTCAACATCGACAGCTATTCTGACATATCCTCTGACATCTCCTCCCTCTCCTCCGATATCTCCCTCAATGGATCAACCGAATTCTCTGAACCGGAGCCTTCAGGATCAAGCTCTGGAGACGAGTCAGACAGAGAGGATGCAGGAGGAGATGATTACGAGGACATGTGGGACGATGAAGGAGACGATATGGAGAGTACCCCACTCAGTCACTACGTTTTCCAGTATGTCCAAGGTCTTTATGCATCACGCTATCAAGTTGCACGCACAAGAATCCCCCGTCCCCATCAATCGTTCTTGAACCATGTTCTTGTTGAATACAAGACTTCTCGCCCAGACCAGTTCCGAAGTGAACTACGCATTTCCCCCTGGACCTTCGACCGCCTTCTCGAATCCATCATCCATGATCCTGTGTTCTCCAACGACTCGTATACTCCCCAATTCCCTGTCGAGCAGCAGCTTGCAATCGCTCTTTTTCGATTCGGACATTACGGCAATGCAGCAGGTCTTAGCAAGGTCGCCCGTTGGGCCGGCGTTAGCAAAGGTTACGTTGTTGTGGCTTGCGGAAGAGTTATTCAGGCCCTCACACGTCCACACATGCGCAAGGCGAACATCCGAATGCCAAACGAGCAAGAGAAGGAAGCTGCAAAGACCTGGGTGGAGAAGCACTCCTGTCGAGGATGGCGGGATGGCTGGTGTCTCGTCGACGGTACCCTCATTCCGTTGTACAGCCGCCCTCACTGGTATGGCGAGAGCTACTTCGATCGGAAGTGTCGATACTCCCTGAACCTGCAGGTACGCCACTTGAGCTGTGGTTAAATGTGGTACTCACAGTCATCTTATCAGGTCGTCTCGCTACCCAATCTGCGCATCATCGACGTGGGCTACGGGTACACTGGTAGTGCGCATGACTCGACTGCGTGGGACGCCACTTTCCTCGCTCAAAATCATGAGGTTCTGCTCCCTAATGGGGAGTGGATCTGGGCTGACTCTGCGTACCCGGTAAGTGCGCTAGGCATCTATACACACGCGCGGCACTAATAGAAGAGGTGTTTCGGCTAGTTACAGGGGGTTAATGATAGGCTCGGGTTAGAAAATTCAGAGGCCTTTGGCAAAACGCGCGGACGTCCGCGCGCAGAAGGACAAGGTCGTACACTATGTCTGTACATTTGCAATGAAGCCTGGCAGACTGTTCAACGTGCGGACACCTGCGCACCCAATGGCTTATAGCTGAGCGTTCAATGCGCGGACATCCGCGCACCCAACAACCTACAGTTGAGCATTCAATGCATACTAGACACACATGCAGGTCACAGGAGGTTCAATGCGCGGACGTCCGCACACAGAGGGACGCAGGCGGACGTTCAATGCGCAGACACTCTCGTGTTCTGCGCCATCCATCAGACGTAGGAGCCCAGACGCCGCACGCGCAGACATCCACGCGCTGAGGTACCACCAAGAAGGGTATATGGCCTCTGTCCACACGTACTGGATGGGCGGGCATCCACGCGTGTTGGATGACACAGCATGCTGCCCGAAGCACAAACATCCACATGTCCACAAGAGAGACAGAGAGCTCACACACTGGATTAGGTTAGGGGGGAGTAGACGCGAGCGACGTAGCGAGCGGAGCGAGCGGAGGAGCGTTGCGGCTACGGATGAAGAGAGAGCACTCGAAAAGTGGCAAGATCTGGGGGTTTCCCCTCCAGAGACCTTTCGACTTTATGCAGTCTCATCAGGCCTATATTCGAGTATGTCAGTTGGTGTACTAATACTTGCAAATGGATCAGGTCACGGTCTTACTTACCGTAATCGCAACGATCTCATTCGCTCGCTATTCTCGTACGTCGCAGTCAGCATGTCCGACCGGGATATGTATGTCCGATCGGGGATTGACTCAGCTATTTCCAATTGATAGATTGGCAATTGGTTATAAATAGCCGCTTCTGGAATGTCCTAGAACATGACGTCAGTGATCACCTGATATGATGTCATGGGTCCCGTGATTGATAGAGAGGGGGTTTTTCTAGGGGTATGAGGGTAAGAACTAGAGGAGGGATAGAACTAGCGCCCATCTGCACAGTGCGCGAACCATCGCGCACATGGACCGTGGTGCTTTGAACAGCATAGTTGCCATGTGCGCGATGGTTCGCGCACATCTGTAGACAATGTCTGCGATCCATCGCGCACATGGAGCATAGTTGTAATGTGCGCGAACCATCGCGCACATGGTGGAATGTAGGGTGTAATGTGCACGATGGTTCGCACACATGATGAAGTGTAGTTGTAATGTGCGCGAACCATCGCGCACATGGAACATGGGTGTTTGCACAGTATAGTTGTCATCTGCGCGATGGTTCGCGAACATCATCGTAGACAGTGTCTCACATGTCTGCGATCTATCGCGCACATGATGGAGTGTCGGGTGTAATGTGCGCGATGAATCAGACAGTGTCATGTAGGTAATGGGAGCAAGTCCCCCAGCAAGAGGGATCTTTCACACAAATTCCTCACAGGTAGATGCAAGCCAGTATGGGAAGCAATATCCAACGATAGACAACATGTAGGGCTGCATATTTATTAGTCCTCTTCGTCTTCCTCATCTGACCCCTCTTCCATCTCCCAGTCTGGGTCGGAGAGGGAGTCGGAGACCACGTGCTCCTCGTCAGTGCCTTCGCCGTCGGAGGACCCCACATCGTCTTCACTCTGCTCCGGAGTGCTGGTGTCGGGTGGCCAGATTGTTCTTCTTGCGAGCCTGACTTCGAGCTCTTGTACCGCTCCGGTGAGCGGGTTGGTGAGAGAGCCTCTACGAAATGCTACGGAAGTGGTTCAGATGTAGACACTGGCTGTGGGCTGTGGTACTCACGGCCGTTCAAAACGCTAGCCTCGGTGACGTTGACGATGCCGTTGCCGAGGATATAGCCTTTGAGATGGACATGTCTGTTTTCGACAAAGATGGAGCGAGTTTCCTGAAAGATGTTAGTCGGTGGGAGAAGAGGAAGGTGAGTAACGGGAGGGGTGACCTCGTTCAAATCAGAGATGTCGAGTAAAATGGGGTCAGGAAAGGGCCAAGATTGGCTGATGGTGGCCGTTTTTGCGACGAGATCGGACTACGGAGAAAATCCGAGTGTGAGGGAATGAGATTATTATAAAATCCTATGAACCGAGAGTACTTACGGCTCTGACTACGCAAGTGACCTCAATGTCGTAGGCGGCGTAATCCAAGAACTGGGAGGCCATGGATGGTCGAGGTATGAAGGAAAGATGGGTGGACTGGTTGGGGAGTGGAGGCCAACTTATGTATACGCAGTGGGGGGCACGGGATTGGCCGTTGAGAAAGAACGGCGATAAAAAGAAATGCGCACGGACCTGGGCATGTCGAGAGGGGATTGGTTGTAAAAACTGGAACATTAGTACTTGACTTAGGAAGTGGACTCAATGTGCGCGATGGATCGCATGCATGAGATTTAATCTGCGCGACGGATCGCGGAGGTGGCTGGTTATGTGCGCGATGGATCGCGGACATGGAGTTCAATGCCCGTGACGGATCGCGGGCATGAAGTTCAATGTGCGCGACGGATCGCGGGCATGGAGTGCAATGTGCGCGACGGATCGCGAACATGGAGTTCAATGTGCGCGACGGATCGCGGACATGGAGTTCAATGTGCGCG